AATTGATCCTTCAGCGTTAAACTGAGTAAACTCAGTTAAACAACATTTCATGAGTCTGGCAGTCCGTTCTTCTATCGTAATCTAACTGTCACTGACTTTTTATGCGCCATGAACCTTGTGCCATCTCCGTGCGTAATTCAAGGAAGCATTTTAATGCTGCTCCACGGTTAAACCAGCGGACCTCTGTATGATCGGGCAGCCTGTGCGTGATATCGTTTTTGGATAAGAATGAAATGTTCAGTAATAGTTATATTTTAACAGTCTGATGAAAGCTGGTGATAAAGGTTCACAGCAGTCTCCTGCATTTAGAAGTGATGTCGCGCTGAAACTTTTAGGTGATCAACACAACACGTTCACCTCTGGGTGACCTAAAAATGAACCATCTGTAAATAAAATCAGTTAATATTCATTTTAATTTACTGTTTTTACAATAACCAGAGGTAAAATAAGTCAGGAGATGCATCAGGCTCAACGCCGGTGTCCACAAACTACACTTAGTCTGGATGTGAGGAGACGGTCTGGGCCGTTACGCAGCAGAGATGAGTGTTTTATATTTGCACGCGGCTCACTCCATAGGAAGCTTTGTTATTATCAGCCAAAACTTTTGTTTTACATCAGTGAAGACAGGAGAAACTGGAAACAAGTGTGGACAGAACTGAAGGCCGTCATGATGCGCGCGCAGTGCAGCGGTTAAGTCCTGTAGCATTGATCAAATTCTGGCAACTTGTGAGCAAATAAAACTAAACTCTTGAAATTGCATTCTGTGTCACCTCTCTCAGGTGTTCAGCCTGTTTTCTGATGTGATGTATAACCAGCGTAATGCAGGAGCAGCTCGTGATACTCCCTGCTGAGAAGTGCCCCGTTTAATTAATATTCGTATCATGATATCAACCTTTACGTTGCTCATTTTACATAGGTTTTAATACAATTCGGGGAAAATACGTATTACAAATATTTAATTCCTAAAAAATCTCTTAATATTTTTCAACACATTTTCTTTCTCCCAAAACGTCTCGCGGGCCGGATGAAACCTGCTGTCGGGCCGGATGTCTGACATCCCTGTTTTAAATCGTCAATAAAAGCAACAATACTCAGCGTCTCATCACGTCTTAAAGGTATATACACGCACACGTCGCGTCGCTCTGAATGTGTTTATAAAGTTATCTGAAAGGAGGCTGAAACGTTTCATGATGTTCATCAGAAACAGTTTGATTATGAAATCATTGATAACAACTGAAGCCACCTGCAGCATATCAGATGTCTTGTTTCGGTGGTGCGAGTCGTTTAGCTGTTTGCTTGTCTAATGCACTTTTTGTTCCATTTGTTGAATGCTGCTCTTCACCTTGGGTTTAAAACATTTATGATAAAAAAAATGTGTACACTGCTTCATCCACACTAAATTTAAAGCTTACATGTAGAAATTCTGGATACCTTCAACACCACATGTTTTAAAATGATACAAACTCTGTTATTCTAACGATCGACAGAAAAAAAAAACTTCAGATCTTCAGTCAAAAGTCGCTGCAAGAAAATAAGAGAGAACTGTCGCACAAGTTGCAGAAACATTACCAACGTATTTGTATAAATTAGACGGTGTGCAGACGTTAACCTGCAAAACTTGGGTGGTAAGACTTTAAAACAGGTCTCTATTGTTTGATTTGTGAATCCTTTCAAAGTTGAAACATCTATCTGCTCCTGTTTTAGCACGAACATACTTCTTTACTGCGATATTCAAAATGGAAGTTTGGACTCTTTTGGTGAATGCATTTACAGGGAGGGTTTTTGTTTCACTTGCACTAAAGTAAAAATGTGTTTCCAAAGATTTAAATTCTCTGAAGAAATAAAAGCCCAAGAGTACAAATGAACCCAGAAACACAGCCGGACTTACAGGAAGTTATAAAAATAAACTGACTGTGCAATCAAAGGAATCTGTTTGCGATGCACTGTGGTGGGATAACTGGAATGAAAGTATTGAATGTCATGGTTTTTAAATAAATGATAAGGTTGCAGAAACTCAGACTCCCATGCTTCATGACTACAGAAGTGCATTTAGAGCTGCATGCTTTGAAGATCAGATCAGTCGTTTGAAATGGACAAAGATGGAGGTGTAGCAGAGATGGTTCTAAACACACACACACACACACACACACACACACTGCACACACATTTTTATATAAAAAAAAACCCCTCAATGGAGTGAGTATCTCTGATTTCAGTGATCGCTTGCTCTGCAGTCTGTTCGGCTCATATCTGCTGGATCACATTTTGCTCTGTTGGTGAAAGCTGAACGATCGGTCGTTCTCTTGTGTATTAACATAATTCTTCTGATGCTAACTTGTAAGCGAGTGTAATGTACAGATACAGTAGATGTGTTGCTGCAGTCCACATGAACACACACACACACACACACACACACACACACACACACACACACACACACACACACCAGACACGAGCTGCAGACACCGAACACCACAAACTATAATTCGACCACACGTTTGTCCTCCAACCTGAACCTGAACTCTCTGCTCCAGACTCTGACACCTTCCCCCAAAGGTTCTCAAACTGAGGTCTGGACCCCCAAAAGGGTCCCAACATACATTTAAGGAGTGATGATTCAACTGAAGAGAACAGCACATGGGAACTCTTCAGCCTGAACTGTACAATTCCTCACAAGTCAATATTGATTTAAAGTGATTATAATGAAAAAACTTGAACAATACTGATCACCACTTTTTTTTTTAAAACGAGCTTGTTCAGAGTATCGGTCAGCTCACATTTAATGGACTATGTATCCTCTGAGAATACTGAAAGCATATTTGATAATAAATAAATAAATAATACGAGAAGATAGATTCAAGTTTTCTAAAGAGCCTGTGATAAAAAAAAAAAAAAAAAAAAAAATCAGCTGACACTGCTTTCTGCAATCTGTTAGCAAACTCTTCTACCACCCTCCCCTTTCTCAGCACTCCCCCCCCCCCCCTTAACTCAACAGTCACGGCTCTGGTCACAAACATGTGCGGACATTTTACCCCCAAACACCTCCGCCTGCTTACACAACCAGACACATGGCGGTGACATCTGAGAAGTGACTCTCCGTCTACAGTACGGACAACGCTGAACAGATTCTGCTGCTCAGGCGGATTCTGCATCATGCTCTGTATTCAATATCGCATGTTAACTGGAGAAATAAAGACCTTCTGCACACGGGAGCACACATGCACGTCCTCCTGCAGGCGTGTTATTTCAAACTATGTCGAAAAAAAAACAAGATTTGCTGCCTCGGTGAGCCGCACACATTTCTCTAAACTCCCACAGAGCTCGGCTAACATTTCTGCCTCAGCAGCAGATTTTTCTGTCAGAGCTGGAGATGAACCCTGCAAGATCCTGTTTCACACAAGTATCACACACACATACACACACACACACCGTCCACGTCTCACACACTATCATGTAAACATTACATAAAAGCGTGCATGTGGAGAGGAACAGGACACGGGCACATATGCAGTGTGTTGTTGAGTGTGCACATGCATGTACAGGTGAATACATGTGTGTTCATGCTGTACCTGCGTTGTGCTTTGCCAGATACTTGTCTTTGTACTGCTTCTTCTTCTTTCCAAACCAGGTGCAGCTGGCCTGCTGCTCCTGCTTCGTCTTCTCCATGGCTATACACGCCACCCGCCTGCAGAAAAAACACACATAGAGACAGATAAAGATTTGAACCTAAACTCCAGTTCAGTGTGTTATTTACACACTGCAATTCCTGCACATATTCTTCTGTGTCTCTTGGGTTTATTTAAGCCTTAGTCTTTGCATGCAGGCAGGCAGCGCCATTTATACTTGCACCCCGGTGTGTTTGCGTATCTAAGCGATCACACCTTCACAACACCTGAGGGGTCCTCTAGCAGATGGGAAGAGCTGTGGGCCTCTGAGACAAAAACAACTGCACAAAGTGAGTCTGCTGTGACGATTTCTCCTACGACATGGACTCATCTCAGAGATATTAATCAGGCTAAAGAGATCAGTTTTATGTCCTTGCTCAGATCTGATTTCTTTGTGATGATGTTTCATTTTTTTTAATCTGCAAAAATCTGATTATTTGCTTTTAGAAAGAATTTGATTTAGAAAGGTTTGCAGTGGAAGCTGGTGAAGTAAGGGGCAGGTGATGAAAGAGTGACAATTTAAATGATTTTTGTATTTAAGAGAAGTGTTTTCTACTTTGGGGCTTTTTGTTCCTTAAATGTAGAGATAGGACAGTGGATAGAGATGGGAATCAGGGAGAGAGAGAGAGAGAGAGAGAGAGAGAGAGAGAGAGAGAGAGAGAGTGGTGAATGACATGCGGGAAAGGAACCACAGGTGGGACCCGAACCCGGACCGCCCACCTGGAGGACTACAGCATCCATACATGGGGCGCACACACCAACCACTGCACCACCAAGTACCCCGATGTTTTCTACTTTTGGACGTGTGGTGGATTCAGAGTCAAAGCAGGAGAGGTTGTATCACTGTATCGTGTTAGCCAGTGTCGACTACTACTAATGCATATTGTGAAGAATCTCACTCCTGGATGGCACAAAAGTCGTATGAATCCTGACGTGAGGTTCAGAATGAGGTGGCTTTGCAAAATATTGGACCTTCATCGGATTTTGCACAAGTTTAAAAGAGCAGATACGCTCTCTGCACATTGTTAAACCAAACAGATCGGAGTCAAAACAGGCAACAAAGATGAGGTCACTTATACAGTTTAATTATCAAATATTGTTCACTCCTTCATTGGCAACATTAACATACAGGAACAAGTCTTAGATGGATTCCTTCCTCTCCTACAGACACACACACACGTCTTGTCAAATAGTTGTAGTTTTTAAGGTTTCAGTACTTTTAAATATTATCTTCATTTCAATAACTGAGATTCTCTCTCTCTCTCTGGTTTTCCTAGTCTTTCCACTGTCCTGTCAAATGAAGGTCAAAGGCCTTAGAGAAGAAAGTAACACAGATTGTATCGTGTTAAATCATGTGTTGTTGAAAAGTATCAAAGTATTGAAATATTCTGACAACCAGAGTTTGTGTCGAGTTTAAAGATTGCGCCTCGTCTTTGTATGTTTTGTGTCTTTTTTTTTGTGTGTTTTGTGTGTTTCCCCCCTCTCACCACTCCTGCAGCTCCGGTGACGGGATGAGGCCCGCCGTGCCGTTCTTCGTGTTCTCCAGCTTTCCCTGCCACCAGTTGTGGTCGTCTTTGGAGATAATCTGGATGATGTCCCCGACCTGGAAGCGGATGCCGGCCTCTTTGCAGGGGATGAGTTCATCTTTGGAGGGGTCGTACTCAAACTGAGCTCGTACGTAGATCTGCAGGTGGGGAAAAAAAAAAAAAAAGACGAGAGAGATTTGATGAGTGAGCTTGAGGAGGTGAGACGCTTAGAGAGGAGGTGGTTTCAGAAATCTGTCAAGAAAGGAGAAAAGAGGTATAGAGAGAAACGAGTTGCATGAGCAGGGGACTCTCAGGGGGGAGGACGGCACGGGGGGGGGGTATTTTGGTTGCCAGGTTTGGAAACGTTTTCTAAGGACGAGTTTCCTCCAGAGAGATAAACTCAGACTCTGCTCGGCCGTTAATGAGCTTCTGAACACCGGGTAATGACAACACAGGCATTGTTTATGTGTCCATCAGATAAAAACAGCTGTTATCCTGACAGCTGTGAGACGGGGGGGGGATAAGGGATGGGGAGCGGGGTGGTTTATATATTTTAGATTAAAAGTGTAGTAACTAGGGAGGAGGGTTTAGGTGAGGCTGTCTCTTACCTTCACAGACATTTTGTCCTTGATTGGAGGTCTTGATACGATCTAGGATTTGAAAGCATCACACACATCATGCAGCAGAAATCTCTGATAGTGTCTGAACAACAGGAGGGGGAGGGGGGGGGCTGAGGGGGGTCAAAGTCAGGGGTTTAATGGAAGTGGTTAGACGCTTTTTGAAATATTTACTTCATATTTTAAACTATGAGGAGGTTAATTGTTACTGGGATGAGCTCTGCAGCTCTTCAGTCTACACAGATTCCCCTGTATCACATCGGTATCTTCATGTTTTTATCTTTGTCTTCTAGTGTCAGAGCGTCTTCACTCTGTTTTTATTTTGCTGTACGATCCTCGTGAAACAGCTTTTTGCAGTTGTGCATGAGAGAAAAGGGTTCTGAAATAAAAGTTTTACAACTAACACACTTTTTCCCACAAGCTCACAAAGTAGTCTCAACAAAACAAATGTTTTCAGAAGCTCAAAATGTTTCTGAATCTGAACTGATGTCGGACTTAAAATGAAATGCCCCCAGTCCAGGAGAAACAAAGCACATCTTTATCGTAACGTCCATCCCCAGCTGTACGGTGACATAAGCCGGTCTGTTGTGGACTCTACTGCCCTCTGCTGGTGGGGATCTGATCTGCCACTTGATTTCAAAACATTACGAGAGTGACATGATGTGATTTTGGCGGCCTGATGTTGGATTACGTAAGGAGGATGGAGGTGTGAGGAAGGTGCACAGACATTAAGACGCTGTGATAGGACGATGAGATGACAGTCATTATTAGTGGTTTCTCTCAAAAAATCTCACAGCTCTTTTAAAAGCCTCCACATGTTTCTGCATGAAGCATGAATGATCAGAGGTTATGGGGGGGGGGGGGGGTTAGGCTCTGCAGGGTTAAACAATGCCTGTGTCGTTATTACTGCATAAAGTTAACGTGATAGTTGAGAGGAGCTACACTGTGTTTGTCTGGGTAAGGGGCTGTTGGCGGTTTCATTATGGTAAGGTTCTTGGTAGCGGTGTGTGTGTGTGTGTGTGTGTGTGTGTGTTTACTGTATGACTGTGTGTGTGTCCGTCCACATGTGAGTCTTTACGTTCAGCTGACCCCCTCCTACATGTTTCTCCAACACTGGTCTTTCTCAGCCCTCTTACTAGATATGACCACGGATGAGTCTCTGAAGGCTCCATCAGCTCATACCAACCAGGACTTGACCCGGTTGGAGAGTCTGCATGGATCAAAGCATCACAAATCTGGGTCAGAGTCCGTTTTGTTAAAGTGAGACCTCAAAGTGTGACGGTTTAATCTGACAGCAGCGTGAGGGGCTGACTAGATTAGGTGTTTATTCAATTTGATTCATGACCTCGAAAAGCCCTTGAAGTTTTCTGTGTTTTTATATATTACAAAGTCCAAATTGTTTCAAGCAACTGTAAAAAACAGAAAGATACTCATAAGGAGTGGTGGATAGATTCAATCTATTTGATTTAAGTCTATGTGAGGGAGAACGTAAATCTCCTGCTTTAGATTTTTGGGTTTTTTGAAGCAGATTCAACATCTTCAGCAGATGGGGCGGCAGTAGCTCAGTCTGTAGGGACTTGGGTTGGGAATCGGAGGATCCGGAAATTGGTCTGGTAGCTGGAGAGGTGCAAGTCCACCTACTGAGCACTGCTGAGGTGCCCTTGAGCAAGTCATCGAACCCCAAAAACTGCTCTGGAGCGCTCGCTGTGGTCAGACCCCTCCATTAATGCACTTCCATAGGATCCTGTTTGTGCATATGTGTGTATTTCAGCCTATGTTTGTTTTTAATTAAATTAAATCAAGATCAGTGACTGTTCTTCACGCTTTGGATGGAAAAATAAACAAACAAAATCAACACATTTTTTTTTGTCACATCACCGTATGTACTCGTTAACAATGTGATGTAGAGAGAAGATCAACTCTGTACACGTTTAACACGGAGTGACCGCTGCAGTGATACCAGAATCTTAATTTATATTAGAGAATAAAAATATTTTGACCTGTTTGTTGCCACGGCAACCAAAATATACAAGTACTAGGAACGCCTGCACACGGTGCTGATCCCACAAACACGTTGGCAATGTTTGGGGAACGTTACCAACGTGTTTGTTCTCTCTTACTTTTGACTGAAAATCTGAAAGGCGATTTAAAGCTACAGTACTTTGTCACACTTTTGATCATTAAAATCACAGATTGTTTTGTGATGTGGTGTCAGAGAGTACTGAAGTATTTATAGTTTGAAAACCTGAGGTGTGATTTGTGGATGTTTGGACTCTTGGAAGGAGGAAGGCGGGGGGGGGGGGGGGTTGTTAAAAGGGACAGAGTAAATGAGAGAAGCATTAATAAGATGTGTGTTAGTCCTGATCTCCGTCTTCCTCAGACAGACTGAAACGTTCACATTAAAACCATTCCGACTGTTTCCCTCCTGCACTCAGAGCAGCTTTACATTCTTTAACTCAAAACCATCTCATTTCTAAAAACAGTCTCAGTGAAAGCTGGATTTGAATCCGCGCTGCCCTCACGTCCTCTCTGCCCCGCTGACAGCTGCAGAACAGTCTGCAGTCAATTACACCGTTTAAATTCAAATTCTTTCTGAAGTGGGCTGAAGAGAAAATCCAGTATTTCTGATTGAAAAGTTGGAAAAGAGGTCAGACTTCAGACGCTGTCATCACGAAGGTCAGCGAGCGGTCGGTCTGAAGCGTCCAGTAAATAAATCCACAAACAGCTATAAAGAGACACACACACACACACATTGTGCAGAGAGGGAGGGAAGCAGGCGCTGTGTGTGTGTGTGTGTCTGTGTCTGTGTGTCTGTGTGTGTATTCACCTGTCGACCTTTGGGCTGGATGGTGGAGGGCAGGTCCTGAGGAGAGAGACCGTAGACGACAGAGAGAGAGAGAGAGAGAGAGAGAGAGACGGTTAAACAACATTCAGATAAGACATCAGCAGGAATCCTTTAGAGCAGTGCTTCTTAATCTTTCTAAATAACTAATCCTCTTATTTCAGACAACGGCCTCCTGACCAGAACGAAATCTGTTCACAAGCATTCTTCGATTAATTGAACAAATAAAGACGTGCTCTGTCTTCGTGCAACTGTTGGCTAACCTCATCCTGCAGAAAGAAGTCAAAAGTCTTGCGAGGCTTTAAAACAACTTCACAATACTGACGGCATTTTGTAGGTTGGTTGACAGTCTTGGTGTTTCCAGCTGCATGCTTTCACAGTTTCAACAACAAATCCAGTTTTTATTTCATTTTTTCAATGTCAGAACTGAACTGGGGAGAAGGCCCTTTTTTGGAACGAGTCACAAAAAGAGCCGAGACGAAATGAGCTGCTCTCATTGGACGCTTCTATGTTGAAAGGACTTGGAGGTAGTTCTTTGCCGTCTGCTTGGCGCGTCAGGGCCTATCTATCATTAAAATAACAGAATTAGTATCCAAGTATGGAAGATGTCGACACCTAACCCTGCAGCTGTCCAAAGAAACACTGCTTTAAAGAAACGTAAAGGAAGCATGCACATGTATCTACACATGTTTTATCGTGTACTTACATGTAAAACATCACACTTACATGTTTTAACAGGTTATAAAGAGAAAAAAAGAGAAGTGTTAAAGTGAGTTTAGAGCAGATCTGTGGAGCCACTCAGCAAGCAGAGAGCCAGCGAAGCGGCATGAGCGTCTGAAGACACGTGAGCAGGTCTGCCGCGTGCGTGTCCCTCCTACCATGATATGTGCGCGTGTAAGCAGCGAGCACAGCACGCAGCTCTGTGAGGCACACCAATTTTAAACTGAGATATCGGACACGTAGGGGGCGGGGCTTCAGCTCAAACAGATAAACAGGAAGAAGGAATCGAATCTAAGGCGTCTGGTTCTACAAACTACAATCAGTACAGAAACACAGCTGTGACAGATGAACCCCTGCACGGACACACGGACAGCTAGAGACATGACACATGACACACACTGAGGGGGAGGAGGGGGGTAGTGTGGGTCTGACTGTGGGGGTTTCTTTCGGGGGGGGGGGGTCCTTACCAAGATAGAACTGTTAATGCTGGAGTGACCGTTGGCAGGAGACTGCCTGGAGGTGTTGGGGGACTCTTTCTGAAATAAGACACACAGGTCAGCAGCAGCACACACACACACACGCTCTCTCTCTCACACACACACACACACACACACACACACACTTCTGAGCAGTGACCGGAGGCGATGGGAGGCACAGTAGAGACCGAGCACAGCGCTGACGTAATGAAAGGCAGCACCACAACATGGAGAAACAGCAGCAGCAGATCTGTGGCCTGCAGGTCTGAACATCACCACAGGGGGGCACTACACTGACAGCAGATTGACTACAAGGGGTCCACAACAGACTACATGTGAGAGAGTGTGTGTGTATGAGGGACCAAAAGAACTGAAAGGAGAACAACATCAATGATTCTTGTGATAATCTCCAATAACATTTCCATCATCATTTTCAACTGTCAAGTAAAAATAAAGCACATAAGATGTTTTAAATGGAGCATAGCTTTCACAGCATGTGTAGTTTTTTGTACAATATTACTTTAATAATTGTTTTGAATGTTTGTCTATCATGTGCACAGTTATGTAACTTTTTGGACGTTATCTATAGACTGTAAATATTGATGGATGACGCCTGGAGGTCGCTGGAAATCCTGTCTCAGCCTAACTTTCAGTCAACCTAACGACAGACTGACGGCTGGAGCTGAGGTGGTTTTAAGCCTCTGGGCGAACCATTACATCGCGCCCACCTGTCAATCATGATGAATGTGGTGTGTTTGTGACTTCCTGGTGTGGTGTGTTTGTGACTTCCTGGTGTGGTGTGTTTGTGACTTCCTGGTGTGGTGTGTTTATGACTTCCTGGTGTGGTGTGTTTGTGACTTCCTGGTGTGGTGTGTAGGTGCTTTCGACAAACTGCGGGATTTGGCACGTCTGCATTTTTTCAACACTGGAGGCTGCCCCTTGACTTTATCATGCTCATCATGGATGTAGATTTTTTTTGGGGGGGAAAGGGAACTGACTACATAGGGTCTCAATGGAGGAAGGGGCCCTTGTTGGGTCTGAGGTCTTAAGCTTGTAAAACAAAGGTAGAGTTTTGAAAGTCACAATGCAAGAAAATGATTCTAGTTAAAATCTAACTGTATCGATACCTGCTGTGCGACAACAAGAACAAAAATTATAAGTTCAAGGCTTCTGATATTGGGGAAAATCTTGTTTTCAATTATCAGAAATTTGCAGGCGAACTACTGCACGCTGTCTAAATTACACAAGTACATTGACAGTGTTCCAGTATCAGAGGTTGCCAATGTATTTGTGCATTTTAGAAATTTCCCTTTCTGCAGATTCAGGGGGGAAGGCAGCAGGACGGGTCACACAGAGAGGTGTGGCTCATTCCTGGACCAGAGGGGGAAGGGGGGGGGGGCGGCAGCATGAGGAGGAGGAGGAGGGGAGGGGGTTCCGGTATCTTGGTTGTGAAATTGGTGTGCTGAATATCTGACCGAGCCCCAGCAAAATACGCGCACACACACGCACACCCAAAACACACACACACACACACACACGCTCAGTAAGAGGCGAGCAGTTAGTAATCAGATCAGGAGCTCACGATCAGCAGTGAAGAGGAGGGAGGATGAAGAGGAGGAGGAGGAGGCGTTACCTCACACGACGAGCCCTGCGTCCGATAACTTGGCACTATTTTAAAGGTGATGCTGCCTCGCATCTCCCTCTGTGGACACACACACACACAAACACACACACAAACACACACATGTAAATATGGAGATTTTTGTCTTATCTTCAGTCCAACATGTGACAGTTTGCAAATTCACTTCATATTGCAGAGATATGCCGACACACACACAAACACACACACACACACACACACACACACGCTCACCAGCATCTTCTGCAGCTGCTCCACAGTCTGGTTGGCCACGCTGATGCTGTTGATCTCTCTGATCTCATCCCCGACGTGCAGCGTCCCTGTGAGGACACGAGGAGAAACAGGACAGAGACGAGAGAGACAAAAATGAAACCAAACCTTTCTTCTTGTTACGGCCCCTCACTGCGCTTCAAACCCTGCTGTTATTTTATTTACACATCACAGAACGGGAAACATCCTCTGTCATACTGATGTTGTTCCAGTTGCTGCATCATAAATCAACCGGGGATTAATTAAAGTCAAAATAAAACAGAGAGAGTGTTAAAGCCTTCATCCACAAGAGCTGTACAGTTGTCATGAGTGGAGAAATGAGCTGTAGAAATCAAAACTGTTTTTGTACCAGGCTGTAAAGATGTTTATTTCTGCTGTAAAGTTAGACATTTTAACATGGGGCTCTATGGGGATTGACTCACTGCAGGAGACAGCCTCTAGTGGACTCTCGAGGAACTGCAGCTGTTGGGTCTTTGAATTTTAGCTTCATTTTAAAGTCGACTTATAAAATGCTGTAGACATGAATATCATCTGTGAGAGGAGGGTACCTTGTCTGTGGATCATTCCCCCGTGCATTATCCTTGCGACGATGCAGTGGTTCAATTCGTTCATCTTCAGCGTGATGCCCTGCAGAGCGGAGGAGGACACACACATCAGCTCTGAACATGAGGCTGTAAACGTGTGTGTGTGCGCGTGTGTGTGTGTGTGTGTGTTTTTGTAACAGTAAATGTGTGGAAGAGTGTACCATGGGCTCGTCTGTGTTTTTCTGGAACTGAACGAGGCGGACTCTGGTGACGTTCTCCAGGTCCATGTCTCCGTTGGTGCTCTCCGGTGAGTCTCCGTTCAGGTAGGGCGAGGTGGGCGGGGGGGTCACCCTCAGAGCCTCGTCGCTGTAAACCTCGTGGGCGACCACGTCGTGGGCCTGCAGCAAGGCCTGAGAGGAAACACAAATACAGAGCGCACAGATCGTTATTATGAGGTTTCTTTTCCAAAGGATCGAACCGGTCAGATAGCAAACTAAACTAGAGTCTTTTTCTCCAACAGGAAGCTTCGAAGAAAGCGATAAGATCCAGTAACCGCGCATGACCAGACAGAAAACAAAAGCTGGTGCGGTGTGTGTTGTGCATGCAGGTGTGTGTTGTTATTCTGTAGCAGTCTGGTGGTGCATCTTGTTATTAAATGAAGATCAACACAGTCGTCGATCGTGTCTATAATGTCTCTCTAATCACAGGCTGCACATTTATCAGCATATGTGTCCTGATGCCTTTAGATGCTGCAGGGATTTAATGAACTGAAGCTCCAGTATAAAAAAGCAGCTGTGAAGGACAGACTGCTACAATCAACAGGTATAGATACATGTGACGGACGATTTGTGGGCAGTGCCATGTTGCAGTGGCAGCTCAGCGCCTGCTGCTGACTGTGACAGCAGCAGAGAGAGTTGGATTAAAAACATCAGACAGACGCTGATACAGGTACCCTAATCAGAAAATCTGTCCTCCTTTTAGATGTTACAATTAGACATCGTTAACTACAACAACATGATTACATCCTAGAGATTCAACTTGAGTCAAAAAGGTTTGATAACACTGGATTTGTCCCCCCTGTGAGACTTTATTCACACCACCTCACAACAGTCTGATCTCCTAGTTTCAGGTATTCTCTCTCTTGTGCAGGTGTATTTGCATGTGTTGTGCGTGGCGTCTGCCTCACACATCCACAGCGTGTTGGACTGGACTCCTCTGACAGCTGCAGACGCCCCTGAGTGACACTCTAACAAACCAGAGTGAACTTCTGAAGACAGCAATCAAACCTCCACAAAGAGGAAACCTGTCAGAGACTTCCCTCAGTGTCACACACACACACACACACACACACACACACACACACACACACACACACACACACACACACACTCCAGAGAAAGGGGAGAGCGGATCAGAGCAGCAGAGATGTGAAGGCGATGGCAGCGTCTCTAACTCCTGCGTCAAACTGAATCACACACAAAATAACACTGATGTTTCAGGACACACAGGAAGGGAAGGCTTGTGTGTGTGTGTGTGTGTGTGTGTGTGTGTGTGTGTGACTGTTTCCTAATGAGGCCGGGGTGAAGGGTTAACTAATCCCTCCAAGACCTGTGTGTGTGTGTGTGTGTGTGTGTGTGTGTGTGTGTGTGTGTGTGTGTGTGCTCCAGTGAGTGTGAGAAACTAACCAAAACAAGCTGCAAATAAAATACAAGATAATTCAGAGAAAGGATAAAAGCAAAGTGAGGAAGAAAGAGGTAGAGATTATAAGATTAACTCAAAACAATCAACATTAAGAGATAACTGGACGCCTCGGCTCTCTGCAGACAGGATACAACGTTAAATCACACGTTATTTATTGTTTATATAGTCTGAGGTGTGAAAAGGTCACCATGCAGCAGGTCGTTATTTCAGGAGGAAGTTTGAAGCCCCACGATGATAACACTTTTTGAGGCATTTCAAAAAAACATCTACTATCAGTAGTTTTTATCTGGTTATGAAACAGACTGAAATTAATCTTGATGTTTCTATACGCAGGGGCTTGTCCAGACTTTTTTGACTGGGGTGGCCCAACTGGGGCAGGGGTGGCCTTCATTGTGATGCGCACACACACACACACACAGATAAATAAATATCCATTATCCTCCCCCTTTCTAACTTCACCAATCAGATCTAATTTATAACAAGATAACAAGATTGTGGATACATTAGCTCAGTGGCTCTCAACTGGTGGGGCGGGACCCTGAGGTGGGCCGCGGAGCCACTTTCAGTGGATCGCGAATGTGTGCCTGGAAAAAAACTTCAGCAAAAAGTCTTTAAAGAGCTTTTTAAACATGCGGTCTGAGGTCCAAACTACACCATTTTTCAGTAAATAAATCTGATTGGTCAAAAGCAGCTTTAGCTCACACCGCAGCCAGATAGCCCTCTGTACTGTTTGATACGATGACTGAGGCTGAGGGACGGAAGAGGATGGAAGAGAGGAACGAGAGTAAGATGCTGGACTAGAGGGAATATTGGACAGGCTTGCACATGTTGGCTAGAGCTTTGCGAAACAGTAGGCTGCAAGCCCGACGCCAAGATGGCTATGTTGCTAGGCTGCTTGAATGCATGTTTTTCTATGTCACTGTGGCTTTCTATTCTGAAAAGAGGCGCACTGCGTCACCTGTAAAGCAATCCTGGAATCAGCTTTCTTCTGACCGTGATTTAGCTTTTTATTGTTCCTTTTGAAAAGATATATAAACACATATGTGCAGAAAGGTGTCCGAGTGTTAGAGACGCTTGCATCTTCACTCTAGCTTCATTCTTCAGCCAGGCAGACTTTAAACAAGGATGAGCACAACTGGGTGTCGCTCCATGAGGACATATTGTCTGCAGATGAGAGCAGATGTGTTCAATGATCGATGATAGAGGTCTGTTTATAATTTAAAAAAAAGAACTACTGAACAAATGAGGACTGAGAAAGAAAAAGTGCTGTGATTCATGTGTTTTCCTTACGATCATCCAAACATGCCCACTTTGCAGGTCTCGCGCTGACTTGAACTCGCTGGAATGTGGTACAGGTCGGTGCAGCGGGCCCCCCCCCCAGCCCCCCTGGTATTTAGTTAAGGCCTCTGACCCTTTCACAGCACATCTGATCAGACACGCCTTACTGACCCCCATCAGCACGTCCCCTCCTCTCCTGCTGCTCCCTGTTCTCCCATCATGGTCATCGACAATGCTTCCTCACTCTTTCTCATTTTATGGTGATAAACTTTCATTTCTCTCCTCCTGTTTTTACACCCTCCGACCCCGACCCCTCCCCCTCTCTGCTCTGTCTGTCTGATATGGGGCAGCCCTCTGATCACAGACGCATTAATGTGATGGGATTAACATGGAGGCCGCTGACAGCCTGAGAGTGACTTTCTCTGGACTGGATTAACCCTTTCCCTCTCATCACAAACGCCTCCTGCAGCCGAATTAATGATACGTGGTATTTGAAGTTTGCTCAGACATCTTGCAACAGTAATATAACTCTTAACTGATGCCATGCTGTACAAAATAAAGCCTCTGACTCAACTCTGTTGATCTCTGAAGCACTTTTCTAACATCTCATTGACAAACGCATTAAACATCAGAGCATCTCAAACACAACAGAGGACTGCAGAGTCTGCCGGACAGAGAAACAGGGATTCAGGAGTTTTGCATTATTGCATTTTTTTTATAGGACAGTGGATAGAGTCAGAAACCAGATAGAGATAGAGCAAGAGAGAGGGAGAGTGAGTGAGTGGGGAATGACATGCGGGTAAGGAGCCACAGGTCGGATTTGAACCTAGGACTATAGCCTCTGTACATGGGGCGCGACCTAACCGGCTAGTCCATCTGCGCTCCTAAACTTACCTTTAAAAACACTGAAGTCACACAATTACACAACAAACTATCTGATAGAGGCAACAGTGGAGCAGCGCCTCCTGTGTGCTGAGGGGTAGTTACTGATTTGTCAATGGACTCTGGTACGGAGGCCCTAAGGTGACATGCATCTACTCATTTCATCATGCTTACTTTCCCCATAATAACGAGTACACTTTGTTTGTTTTTCTTTGAGATCTCAACTTATTCATCTCGAGATAACGGTGGTTTGTGTTCCATGATAATTGAATTTCAGTCCCTTAATCGAGATTTGAAAATGATCTTGTTTCACTGGAAAATCAGCGTTTTTATTTTGAGGTGACGATGCTTCTCCTCCACGATTAACAGCATAAATAAGTGAAAACTCGAGAAAACAAACAGAATGACTCTTTATCACGGGACAACAGAGTATGGTGGATGTTTGTCCGCTCAGGGCTTCTGTACTTTGGTGGCTTCTAATAGAGTATTAAAAAAAGAAAATAAGAATAAAGAAAATCCTTGTCCTTGTCCGATGCATTAAAGATGAAATTTAAGGTAGTAGAAAGTTCAGATATTTCTGCATAAATGAAGGTGGTAAAGCGAGGAATCACTACAAGATAATCAACCGCATTCTGCAAAGTCACAATATTTTGATGGTTCTAAAGATGACCTTGTCAGATATTCCTGTGGTGTGCTGAGTAATCTGATCTGCTCGGAAGGAGGCACGATTGCAAATCTTAAATTTGAATCATGTTCAATATATACGATCTGATCTCCTGCTGTGTGAGGGGAACCCACGAGGACAGCCGAGCACGCTCTCCGATAGCCAATCAGGAAGCAAGCTGACTGAAGGAGGAAGAACAACATATCAGTTTACTCCTCTCCAGCTCGCTCTGTAACATGTACAGCCCATGTTCACACTCCATGTCTTTATCCAGAGTTTTTTTTTATTGTGAATTCACATTTTCTCTCTGCCATGTTTGTTTACTCTGAAGTAAGCGTTAGATTGCGAGAAACATTGTGAGAATTTTTTTTTTTTTGGAGTTTTAGAGTCAAGACTCTGTTTGTGAATGAATCTGTTAGTGTGTAATGGTAAATAGATTTGAGCTTGTACACCGCAGGTCACACCTACACATTCACACACTGATGGTAGAGGCTGCTGTGTAAAGAGACCATCAGAAGTAACTCATCCATTCACCAGCTTGGGTTTGAGAGTCTTATCCAAGGACACTTCAGACATGTGGCTGCAGGAGCTGGGGATTGAACCCCCGACCTTCCTGTTGAACTCCGACCGACACTACCACTTGAACCACAGCCGCCCCTAGAGAGCAACGATGTGACCAAAACAGCACACCACACTACAGAGCAAAACTGTTTCATCTTCGGTCGTCATGTGTAGCTCTCTCACATTTTGAAACGTGGTTTAGTGCGGACCAGGCTCACCATAGTCTACATAAAATACCTGACACCCTGCTGAAGTGAGCCTACTAAAGCAGAAGTAGAATTTGGACTCTCTGATTCTGTCGGTCATCACAGTGTTTGCTCAGCCGTCTGACACACTGACAGATCAGCTCCAGTTGGTTTAATAAATGTTAACATCTGAAAAGAGCAGCTTCAGTTCAGACAGGACGGTGTGATTCTTGTGGTTTTTTTTGGACTCACCATGAAATGCGGCTGGGTCAGTATCCGTCTGAGTTCCTTAGCTTCGTGGTTCTCGGGGTAGCACGAGATTTCTTCCAGAACCTGAAGGCGAGGAGAGAAAAGTTGAAAAACACCTTCATCAGTTTGATTCCAAACACACCGCTCTTCTTCTTCTTCTTCTTCTTCTTCTTATTGCTCCCCTCTGAACCTGCTGCACAACAGGACGGAGTGTGTTTAAGAGAGTGACCCAAAAACTTCACAGACCACCTCCACTCACAACCCGCCTCCTGGACCTCCGCAGCCAATGTGAGACCAACTTCAAGAAGCTGGTCCTTCTCTGCCCCACCTCCCCACCCCCCTACACACACACACACACACACACACACACACACTGGCAGGTTTGATGTCAGCTCCAGTTATGTATCGCCTCAATGGTGAATGTGGCATTGTGGAGGTGAGGCCTCTGAGTGTGTGTGTGTGTGCGACTGAAGCACTGTGGAGTTATGATGAAGAATCAGAGATGTGTGTGTAGTTCATGAATGTGTGTACCTTTAGGTGTTTATTATCAGAAGAAAACAGAAGCTGAAACAATCAGAGCAACGACTCTAAACATTTTTTTTATTCCAGACACTTTTGATTTCAGGATCAGAATCAGAACTACTTTATGAATCTTTGGAGGAATTCAGTCCACTTAATACAGAACAATCTGTTTTTTATCGTTAGGGCCTGTGTTGTTGTTTTTTTTGCGTTGCAGCTCCTCTTTTCAAAACAAACACCAAACAGTTCAGGATTTATAGCAGCACAAAGAGGCCCTGAAAGTCGGTTCAACTTTTGGAACAGCACCGTGCTCGTCAATGTCACTTCTCCTTCACCGACAAATCAAAACCAGGAAGGGAAACTAAAAATAACAAACTTTACAACAACAATGGCGGAGGAAAAAGTGATCTGACTCGTCTTTTTGAGGGAACTGTTTCAGGTCAAGAGCTGCTGCTGATGCAGGACACGATTCTTTACGTTACCTTTAAGTTTTCTTGGTGATATTTTAGAAGTAAAATCAGATATTAAGCATACAGATCTATTTCAATCAGAGTGCTGGGAGCCAACTCAGCCTTATTTGAAGTTTAACGATAGCTATGAAAATGAATAAGCACTGGGTACAATCTCTCTTGCCAACATCTAATTTTCTTAAAACATAAATTCTGCAGTTTGTAAGATTTTTGGGCCTTTTTGCCTTTATTTATAGGACGGCTGAAGAGAGACAGGAAATGTTTGGATGAGAGAGTCGGGGGGATGATATGCAGCAAAGGGCCGAGGTCGGATTGAACCCACAGCTTCCGTACATCGGGGGAGCAACCTAACCGTTAGGCTACTGATGCTACTGTGTTTAGTTTTAATATAAGTCATTCACTTTTATATTTTCCTCACTTTTTTCATCAAAACTTTTATTATTAAAGAAACTTTTTATAACATTTTCGCCTTGATTAGATCGGGCGGAGAGAGAGGAATGATGTGCAGCAAAGGGCCGGGGTCGATGTCTGAAGTTTACCTGATGTTTAGTCCGCCTGTGTTTTTTTTTTTTCTCTATCTCAGCTCCTTGAACACAAAACTCATGATCTACAGTGACGCTCAAACTCATTAAAGGTGAAACAAAGAGGCCGATAAGGTGTGTTTCATCTCATCGTTCACACCTTAATGATGAATCATTAAGATCCAACAGGTCAGCGGTCACAGGGAACAAAGCCGCTCCTCACAGCTCATACAGAACAAACCACAGAGCGTAAAGATCAACATGATCAACAATAATTAAATCTGCTAACCTGCAGCTCTGCTCAGACTTCAGATGAAAGAAGTAAATTAAGAACATATTTCTGTGATCACGTTGATATTCAGCCGTTTGCTCCTGATCGTTTAAAACGACCTCTTTGATCTGATGGTTAATGGTGGTTTCAACTCTCTCTCAGGTGATTGTATCAACACAGAGTTACTCTATGTTCTCTCTACTCGAGGTGTTGTGGTGTTTTGTTTTGAATCGTGGATTCTGAGGAGGTTCTTCCTCTCAAAAATGAAACTTTCTTCTTTAGAGTCACACCGAGAGGAACAGAAAGTTGGTGAACTTTTGGGTCGTCATTATACCAGAAATTAAAACTTTGATACCATTCTAGTGAAAATCCAACAATATTGATACTTATTTTGTTACCACGGCAACAAAAGAGAAGATCTAGGCCCCGAATATCGGGTAATTTCTTGGTTTTGATGAGGAAAAATTGCATGAAAACATCGTGCACACTCTGTAAACATAGGTTGGCAACGTAACTCATCAATAAAGAATGGGAGATTGCATCATTTTAAAACTATCAAAAGGCATCGAGGTATGGATCATCCTCTGATCCCCTCCTCCGTGTCTCTAGCTGTTAGTCTGTGATCGTGGTGTGTGTTGAGCGCTTACATATTCCAGATGTTTCAAAGCTCCACTCGCTGCGTCTCTGGATGAACTCTTTATTGGAGGAAGACACAGGAAGAAGGTTACACACGCTGTTGTTTGGGGGGGGGGGGGGAGGGCGGTCAGGCTCCATCCACACTGATACACTTTGACTCTTTTAGTTTAAACGTGTTCAGGACTTAACTGTTATTTTAATTTCAATTAACAAATCCCTTATCGTCTCTATCAACGGTTAAATGATTTGGCATATGGATTTCATAATGCAAAGAAGCCCTCCTCTAAATGTCTTCATTTGTCAACAACCCAAAGACTTTCATTGAAGTGTCACAGACCAGGAAAGAAACCAAAAATAGTCAAAATTAAGGATTTTAACGTTATGGCTTAATAAAACCCCTCAGACTGAATAAATTATCTTTAAAATGTTTAGTAATTGACTCATCTTGGTAAAAAGAAGCAAGGATCATCTGAACACCAAGGAGCTCCCGTTTAAAGGATTTATTGACAAGTGATGTTTCGAGCCGACGTGCTCTTCCTCAGACTTGAAAACGAAGCGCCACTTGTCAATAAATCGTTTCATCGGGAGCTCCTTGGTGTGCCGATTTTCTTCTTTTCCTGATTTTGGATCCAGTTCCCTCTGAGGGATGTTCCTGTCTTTTTTTTGGTTTTAATTGATTCATCTTCCAATTGTTTGTCGAATATTTTTCATTCCATTTGAAATTGGCAGAAATTTGAAACCTCTGAAAACGATGGTAATTTATCCTCCTGTGATTGGTCACCTGAAAACATTAAACACCAGCCGTGATGACCAGCTGTTCATTAAACACATCCCATAATGCCTCAACATGAGGGTCGTCCTACTGTTTACTTTTACGGCTTTTCTGTTCCATGTTTATTTTTCTACATCAATCAATGAACCTCAGAGTGGTCTGTGCACATGCTCAGTGGACATCGGACAATAGGATGGAAGATTGCTGCATCAGTGTGGATGGAGCTAGAGACTCCGCCCCTTTTTTCTTTAGCAATGTTAACCTGATAGACTCATTTCACACTGCGTGTTCTCAGAGCAGAAGACGCTAAAGGCAGCGGAGAAGAACTTGCCAGGTCGACTTTTTGTCCAGAATCAGATCCAGACACTCACCGAATGTGGGAAAAATCTGTGTCTGAGTGTATTTTCTTTTGCATCCACTTCGCACACAGTGGTCTGATTTATTCCATAAAAACCTCAAAGGTTACGGCCTCCTTTAAGCCTTTCAGGGCTGAAGTGATGTCATCATCTCTGAAATGAAGGCGCCATGGTTTATAGTTTAATGATCAGGGGGAAGAGGAGGTCGCGGTAGAAACCAGGAAGTTCTTCTCTTCTGCTTTGCTTACTTCCACTCTGAGAACACGCAGCGTGAAACAGGTTTATATTCGGGCCGTGAATGAGTTCAGTTTGTGTGATTAGTATCTTACAGCCAAAGAAGGTAAATTCATCACAAGCAGAGAACTAATTGAGGCGAAAAAAAGTTTGAAGATTAAAGAAGAGCGGTGTATTAGTGCAGTCAGAACGAAGCTCTGTGGAGGTCTGAAGCTTTGGATCACAGATTAGTCAGAGCAGCTTTTCAATGTCAGAGAGACGGAAATAAAGCTCAGGAGGAGGAGGAGGAAGAGGAGGAGAGAAAGAGGACAAGGAGAAAAGGAGGGGGAGGAGGAGGAAGAGGAAAAGGAGGAGGACGAGGAGAGGAGGAGGACGAGGAGGACACTGAAGGCTCGATGAGTGTTAATCTGAAGGGAAACTTTCCCAAAGCATCTTTAAGTATTCTTTAAGACATTTCTTGTGTTAGACGACTTTCTGCAGCCAGTTAAAGCTGTTAACCATGAGACAGATCTTAATATCTGCAGGGATGTTCACTCTGCCCTCAGATTGTTGCACTCCCATCAGCCGTGAGACAGATCAGAATACTTGCTGGACAAAAGTGTAACCTGTTTTTTTTTAAACTCCCTAACGCCCGCACAGACTCCGTCCATGACTCGGTCAGGACGGGTAAAGATGGAAACTGTGATCCTGCAGCACTTTAACCTCTCAGTTTGTTCTTTATTAAAACAACCACATAAAACAGAGTTACAGGCTTTCTCTGTCTGCACACTCACACACACTCGCTCTCTGTGCACTTTAATTAGTCCCTCAACAAAGTACTCACACACACACACACACACAGATTCAAGTGCACAAGCCCCGCCCTCCTACACACAAACAGTTGCACAACAGCTCCAGTCTGCGTCCTGCTTTACTGCACCGAGATGTAAACACATAAACTAACACTGTCTGTCTGTGTGCTTGTGCGAGTGTGTGTGAGTGTGTGAGAGAATGTGTGTGTGTGTATTCTTCCTAATCAGAGCCAGACCCCGAGACTGTAAGGGTGTGCATGATTGTGTGTGTGTGTGTGTGTGTGTGTGTGTGTGTGTGTGTGTGTGTTAAGGGCGCCAAAATGTTCCGTATACGGAGATATTTTTCAACACTTGTTTAAACAGTCGTATTTTTAACCCGAGAGCGGCATGACAAAGGAGAGAGCCCCGTCTAAATTTCTCAGAAATACACACCGGTAGCTAAATGTATTTTTACACTAGGACAGTTTGCAGCAGTTTGTTTGCAATTGTTGATCATTAAAAACATTAAAAAGGCGCCATATTGTGTATCTAGGACTTCTATTTGTGTCGCTGTGGTGACAAAACGGTATCGATATCGTTTCATTTTTAACTAGAATCAAATCAAAGTGTGTCAACAATACTTGATTCTGATTGGCCAATTACCCATAGCATTGCACTGAGCTGTTTATCAGCTAACAAACCTCAGAGGTCACTGAAGTCTGACAAGAAGCCGACAGGCGGCTCACTAACTGAACATCAATGATTCATAATTTCATTTCTCTCTCTGTTTGTTTGGAGTCAATTTAATTTCATCTCAGCTCAAAAACAAACATCAGCTCAAATAAAGTCGTACCAAAGTCTTCATTGTGTGGACTTCTTCAAGGAGCACGAGTTTCTCTACGAAGATCTCAAAGTGAACTTTAACACTAGGCCATGCCCAAGCACGTTTGACCCCCAAAGTCCAACATGACCCCCCCCCAAAGTCCAGCTCTTTTGACGAGTGAGCGCTCCGATCTGTGCTTAAGCTCTGTACTCTTCCTCGGCCCTGACATGGATGGAAGAGGTGTGCTTCGGCACGGTACAGTTGCTCATACATGAGCACGGGCATGCAAAGTGGACATGAAGTACAATCGATGCCTTCCTTCCAATGATCGATAAATCCTGCAGTGTTCTGGCTGTTTCTGACTAAAGGCAGGAAAGTAGCTGTCATGTTTTCTGTGTTGTTCTCTGATGTGTGGACACAGACTCGACCCCCTGTTTTTTAGTCTGGCTGTCTTGTAAACTAAGCGGCTTCATGATCTTGTAGATCCTAACATGTGTTGTATCACGTCGTTATGTACATGAGGTTAACAGTGCTCAGGCCCGGTTAGTCCTGGAGCAGTGTGAGTGCAGGCCAGCGGGGGAATGGTGAAGGGGGAGGGGCAATCGTGCTTCAGTACGGTACGGAGCAACGGAGCCTTGTGTGAGTGCGCCCTAAGACAACTTCACAAACTACAATCACTCAGATTCACTGGGATAGATTTGAGTGTTTCTCTTAAATGTGTCTCACTGCCGTATTACAGACAAAAATACTGCACTTCTGTTTCACTACTTAACATATTTAGACTTTAAATGAATGATGGAAAAGATAAACTTTTGCATCTTGACGAGCAAGAAGACATTTTCTGAGGAGCAAAGTTAGACTGTGAACAAAGACGTAAACTTTAATAGCAGTAAATCAGTGTGAAGTAACGGTGAGTGATCCATCTGCAGGATCAGCGACAGAAACCTTTTAAACAAATTCGACTTCCTCTAGATAGTCAAGTTTGATCGTCTTCTCGTGGTACACAGTGAGGACACGTCAAAGACCAATAAGGACCGAGGTCGTGTGTAAAAAGCCTTTTAAAGTCTTCTAGTGCATTGAAGGCATAGGTCTGCTGCTGACACTTTTCCTCCTTTATAATACAGATGTATTCCTGTTGGACTGCGAGCACGCCCTAACACTCTCCATGTTCGACAAGATTTCAGGAAAAGGCAAAAGTGTCAGCACTTAAGAGTCCCGTTGTGATTCAAACTGAAAGAATTCCTCATTACTTAGCTCTCGTGCACCCTCAGGTTGTAGACGTTGCTCTAAAAGCATGAATCACATCTCAGACCTTCTTCTGTGATAAGTGAGGTTTCCTGCTGACGCTCAGGATCATGGTTTAAAAAAAAAAAAAAAAAAAAGAGCGAGTCTGCACCGTGTTTCTGCAGACATCAAACATGAGTCAAGAGTTTTTCTCTTCACTTCAAGCATCACCCCAAAGACTCCTCTGACCCACTGGAGATGAGGATTTAGATTTGAGCTGTAAGTTTAGTACACACACACACACACACTGAGAGCAGAAGAGGTGAGCAGAGTTAGAGCGTGAGAAGGATTCATGCAGCCTGACAGAGGAGTGAGTAAAGATGTGAGAGAAATAAAGCAGCAGAGAGAAAGCCTGTCGTCTTTAAGGTGACTCAATTCATCATCACACAGGTAGAGGAACAGACAAGTAGCTGTTTATGCAAAGTGTTTAGAGAAGGTGTGTGTGTGTGTGTGTGTGTGTGTGTGTGTGTGTGTGTGTTCACCTCTTTGGCTCTCTGCACGGCATCACTCGGGGGGTTCCTGATGCTCGGGGACGACTTGGTGTTGATCTTATCGTAGAGCTGAAAAATCACAAATGTGTCAGTTAGAGAAAATGTGAGTAAACAAATCAAAGGAGCTTCCAGGTGATCAGTAACATATTTTAATCAGACTGATAGAGGTGCAACAGGAAGTCAGGTTTAAGACATAGAGGGTCAATCTGGTGTTTTTAAACCTCAGCTCTGTTTTTAAATATGCTGGATGCTAAATGACTAATAGGTTCAAAATGTTGAATATATTTCCAGTAGATCCTGCAGCAGCTGAAACAAACAGTTTCAGGCAGAGGCTGAAATGAAGGTGTCTGTAAAGTTGTCACTTAGAATAACAATCTGAGCCGGTCAGTGACAAAAACAACAACTTTTCATGGATGTACGTTGACGGCCTTTGCCCTCCTCTTTGACAAAATAAATTATGAATGTGTTTGTTTTTATTCTTTATGTCATCAGACCTCTCAATCTCTGGAGTTTGAAGGAGTCACTTTTTATGCTTCTTCTTCTTTTCTCAACATTTTAAAAACAGGAAACTGTCTCTCTCTGCAGTCTCTTACACACACACACACACACACACACACACACGCACACACAGGAGCCTGTTGATAGAATCACAGCTGATAATAAAGCGAGCTGACTGGAGCGTCTGTGTGGTGAAGTCAGAGACTCTTGCGGGAGGATTTTAGAGGTTTTGTGGACAAACCGTCCCTCAGACACAAAGACAGCAGCTGTGAGATAAAACCTCAGCACAGGTTGGATTGATCTGTTTGTTTTAAAACCACTTTCCTAAAATGTTTAGGTACAAACACGACAAGTCTGATAAGAAAGCTGCCTGCTGTATTTTTCATGTGACATGCTGCAAAGAGGAGGACAGTGTGTGTGTGTGTGTGTGCGTGTGTGTGTGTGATGTTGAGGGACAAACACAGCGTCTGTACCACACTGTTCAGTGACACACTGAGACTCTGAACAATCCTCTGTCCTCCCTCATCATCAACATCATCAACAACAACATCAACAACAACAACAACCCCATCATTAGGAGACATGATCTCAGACACCATCACAGGGAATAAGATGCACAGACCAACAACAGAAACTACAAACATGCATCTCTACATTTTGCATTTTGTGCATGGTAACAGTGAACAATAAAGATCTGTCTGCTCCCGTGAAGCTCAGGTTTCCTTTGAATCTAAACTGAAGGAGGGCGCAGAAAAAAGTAAACTGTGTAAGTCAGAATAAGGAACATTTGTCTTTCACTTTCTGCTCTTTGTGACACTTTGATGATTTGCTAGAAGGTTCTACTGTCATAACCATCTTCTTTGATTTTTCAGACCTATATGAGTTTGTTTAAAGTAGATCAATTAATGCATTAGCCATAGGTGATCTTCAATGGGATTACAGACTAAAGGATACATATAGACCTGCAAGTCCTTAGACCTGTCAAAGACCACAACTCATCCAGTCCAGAAGAGACCTGAAGAAGACTTCTTTCGCATTTCCACAGTGTCAGTTTGTGGTACGGACTTAGCTGACTCAAAGCTGATGTTTTTTGTTATTTTTTTTCGAACATGCCTAAGGGGATATCCAGTGTGGTTTCCATTACAGTTGTTTAATGTGGAAAAACTCTTAAAAAGCATCAGCCAATGCAGCGAAGTGTTCTGTTTCTGTCAAGTGATCTGACAGATTCTCCAAAAGTCGACCCAGACTCAGACCATGGTTTGACCTGCAGGCAGACAGACAGGCAGGCAGACAGACAGTCAGATGGACGGAGAATAAAAGGTATGGTGGGCGCATGTTTGAGGGGAAATGTGAGTTTCTTTGAGGAGGAGGAGGATGATGATGCATCTTTCCTCCTGCTGAGAAAACCAGCAGATTAAAAACAGAGGAGTGCTGGGGGATGTTGACGCACAGCAAACACACGTCTCAAGTGTGTGTCTGCATCTGAAACACACACACACACACACACACTCCTCAGGAAACCCTTATAAGAATACAGAAATAAAGCAGAGCGCCTGAGGGCTGAGGCAGTATGCTTCGTCCCACATGCTGTCTGCAGACACACACACACAGATTCCCTGCACGCTGCTCCTTTAGAGAGGCGAGCTGTCATCTTCTTTTTAGTCTGAGAGGAGAAAAACTGACCTCTGAAGGCTTTTGCTTCGAAAAAAAAAAACACAGTTGAACAAAGACTCTGCAGGTCACAAACAAACAGAGAAGTCGCATCTCATGTTGAGAAAAGGTAGCAACATTTCAGGTGTGCAGATGTTTAAAAATCACACAGACACTAGCATGTCTGCATCACATCCTCGCAGCCGATAGCTACAACAAGCCCGCACTGTTTCCAAGACAAGAAGCAGTTTGATGTCTTAATTTTCCGATTAGCGATAAGTAAATTCAGACATCGTGTCCTTCGGGGTAACTTATTACTCTGCCTCGATCAGCCTGAAGCCTGAGGAGCTCCGGAAACGAGCACAGAGAGGGAAAGAGAAACACAAACGCGGCTCATTATACACGTCAAACACCCAAAAACAACCACCGGGGGAAGACTTCAGATTAGCTGGAGGCGTCTTTTGACAAAACGCTCTCCTTGCAAACACTTCAGACAGAAAACACAAACACACACTCTCACACACTCACCCAGGAGACAGGAAGTGGTTTGTCAGAGAGATGCAGATGACAGAGCGAAAACGAGTCGGGAGTTATCAGAGGCAGGAGGTTATATCCGCTCGCTGTCGATGTGAAGTCTGCAGCGAGGAGAGTGATGGAGGGTTGTGCTGTTTGTGAACGGCACCGAGGACCCGACAACAGCAGCCATTGTTAACCCCCCCCCCCAAGACCCAGCCCTCCCACCAGATCAGGCCGGGTGTGAAACTGAGGCTGCAAAAGGGACATCTGCAGCCCCCAGCTCCCACTGACACTGGTGCACACACAAACACACACACACACACAAAGCCGCCTCCTGAAAAAATCCTCAGCCTCCAGCAACTTGGAAATACTGTATCATATACACACACGCACACGCACACTGTTCTCTTTTCTTAAACTAACTTGTTACAATGTCCCTGTGGCTCTTCTGATGTTTTGATTTCAGCCTCTGAAGACGTTGTTTTGTGCCGTGGAGCTTGTTGAATGAGAGATGTGTAATTTACCTGAAGAACACAGATGTTATCTTCTCTCTCTGCAAACATCTGCAGCAGCTCATCGATACAGATAACAACTTATGTTTGCACAGCATGTTATGACCACCACCTCCTTCAAGTCTGTCGCTTCATAAAACGGTCCATAAAAATGACACGTGGATGCTCTGGTTTAGCTCAGGCAGTACAGCAGGCGCCCAATACACAGAAGCTACAGGCCTCAATGTTTGAGCCTGGGGTTCGACTCCAACCTGCAAACTGTCTTACATCAGGCGCCCTGCAGAGAGAGAGACATCCTGGTGATATGAACCAGAGCAAGCTGCAGATCTGTACCTATCAGAACTGTGAGGAGACGATGTTTGGACTCTGCTTCACCTCTATCAAATCTCTAATGAGGCAAACACTGTTAACGACGCAGAGCTGTTGAAGTACTCAACTTGAGGGCTGTGATCCTGGAATTTAAAACACACCATATGAGCCTGCTGAGAGCGACACCGCAGCCTCAGACATGATCTCATATCCAAAGTTTAAACAAGTGAAGCTCCAGACACGTCAAGCTGACATCAGAGAACCAGCAGAACCAAAGGCTGGCTGATGCATGGACTCCGGTCTGCTGTAGCTGGGACAAAAATGTCCAAGGTAAGGTAAACTGTGAGACCAAGGACGGCACAAACTGCAGCTACATTTTACTGTTCCTCTCCTCTAATCGTCATATTTTGTTTTTCCCTTTCTGCAGACAGACACACAGCTAACTGCTCTCCGACATCATCTGTGAGTCAGGGAAATGAGCAAAAACAGGCCATGAGAACGGTTCATGGCTTAACCTTACACACACACACACTCACACACAAACAAACGCAGAATAATTACATGAGAAATCTAAAGACACACCCGAAAACAACTTGACCTTTTCCATCGCCTGCAGAGCGATGAGCATCGTCATCATGATGTGAGCTCTTTATGACTTCTACTTCATGAAACATGAAAATCTGATTCAGGCTCTGATTAATTCACCGGTTTAATCAGGGCCGGGTTTAGATCTGATGTGTGTGTGTGGATTTAGGGGGTGATGTGTGTTGACACTCACGTCCAGCAGTGTGTGTAGATGCTGGTCCTGGAAAACACTGTGGAGGAAATCAAGATCCTTCTCACTGCAGTCTGTCAGAGCGTGGATCTCCTCTAAACTGTCCAACACTTGAGACACAGCACCTGCAACACACACACACACACACACACACACACACACACACACACACACACACACACACACACACACACACACACACACACATATCATTAACACTGGTTCTCTGCTCTCTGCAGTGAGCGTGCACAGAAACACTTCCTGCATCATTCAACAAGAAGACAACTTAAAGTCATCATTGTCAACCTTCACATACACAAACAGTTCACACACGCACACACAAACACACACATACACACAGAGGCACGCACGCACACACAGCGGAGGATACCTACGTTCTGCTGCTAGAAGTCCTAGCAGGATGGAAGCATTAACAGAAACACAGGAACAGACAGTTTGCATATGAACAGAGCTTTAAAAAACACGATTTATAGTCTATAACAAACATTTCTATAAAAACACTTTGAGCCTGAGGGGAAGAAAGAGACCTGAATGCTTATTTACGTTTGTAATGTGTCACAGAAAGTCAGCTGTGGTGTCTTTAATTCCTAAATGTGGTTTTATTTTCTTCCAGAGATTGTTTACTTTAAAATAAATCTGAGGCCTGAAATCAAACCAATTCATTCTCAAAAACAAAAATATTATGAAGAAATATGTAACAATATTCTGTTGGACAAAGTTAAATAGAAATGTGTCTGCTGGTGGTGTGAGTGATCATTTATGAATCTGTTTAATGAGATTCAATATCATACTGGAGAGACACTTTATGTTTTTGTATTTTCTGTGTAAACACTCTGAATGTTGTCTTCAAACGTGTTGGTTTGTGCTAAAAAAAAACAAAAAACCAACAAAAAAAAAAGCAGAAGTTTAAAAATAACATAAGAAACCAGACAAAGGAAACACGAGGGGTGTGTATGTGTGTGTGTGTGTGTGTGTGTGTGTGTGTGTGTGTGTGCACCTGAGGAGGTGGGGTCTTCAGAGAAGTCGTGGATCTCTTCGGGGGGGTCGCCATAAAACGAGTTAAACTTGTGACTCGACACTGCAGCCAGTACGGCGCCCTGAAACACGACGATTAAACATCAAAATCTAAATCTTATGTGTGTGTGTGTGTGTGTGTTTGTGTGTGTTTGAGTGTTTGTGTGTGTGTATGAAGTTGTGCATGTGTGTGTTTGTGAGTGTTTCTCTGTGCGTGTGTGTGTTTGTGAAGTTGTGTGTGTTGTGTAACTGCAGACCTTCAGCTTCCTCCTGGAGTTGAACTTCCTCAGCTGCTCCACGGTGTCGGGCAGGTGGATCTTGTAGGCGTACCTGTCTCTCTCCTGAGGAGCCAAACGCAGAGAGAGACAACTTTAAAAACTTTAAAAAGTGTGCATGTGAATAAACCATTTCTCCAAATCCCACATATTTATTTTTATTAAGAATATTAGGGGCATTAGAAGATACATTTGGAGATAAAACAAGTGAGTCCTGCCGAGGAAGCTGCATGCCACTTGTTCACATGTTATGATATGTTGTTGCAAAGTTTCAGGTTGAGGAAGTTGTGACAGATGGTGATGTTGAAATAAGCACAAGAGAAACTGACATTTTTCTGGATGGAAACAAAAGCAGCAGTAGATGTTATCAGGTCAGAATTGTAATGTTACATCAGAAGACATTGTGAAATGTGGTTTAGAGCCGAGTGCGGCTGACACAACTCCAGAAATGGAAACTTTGATAGCACGATTTGAAACTCCGACTTGAGTCCAGTAAAATTCAGACGATAACTAAGTAAAGTCCTATGCACCAGATATTGGGTCATTTCTTGTTTTTAATGAGCAAAACCTGCAGGCAATATTTCAACCTTTTGTGGTAAGAAGATCAACTTATTTATCAAATTATACCCACGCGTTTCGGCTTCATCAGGATCATCCTAGGCCACAAGCCGAAATTTCTAATTTTTAATCTTCCTACTATGAGTGTTGCTGGAGCATTATGACCTCTTCAAGCCTTTCACTCTTCACACACCTTGCAAGGTGTTGAGGTTCTGCTCTGTTTCTTCAACATTTCAACCTTTGCCGGTGTTTTTGTGCAATTTCAAAAGTATGCAAGAAACACCATGTCATGAATCATTGCTCTTCGAGACATCTCTCATATCACATAGATGTGCAGAGTATTTTTGCTTTATATGTTTTCATAAGCAGCGACATGTAAGCAGCACTTTAAGAGACAAAAACTTAATTTTTGCATCTTCATGAGACGCCCAACGAACTTGAGGAAGGTCAGTGTTTGCCGTCCTGTGAATTTAAGGGGACCACAGTTGCTCTCGTTCTTTTTCTCTTGGAAGCTTTTAGTTGATAAACACGACTTAAGCTCTGAAGTGTTTTAAAGTGTCTGTACTTTCCGATGCTATTTATCATAAAAACCTAAGAGACACTATCATTTAAAAAAAAAAAAAAAACTTCAAAATCGAAAAGCATCAAGGTATCAAAGGTTTCAGCATCCCTTTTGAGTGCTTGTGTGATATTTAAGAAGTGTCTCCTTCTCCCTGCAGAGTTGCTTGCTGGAGTAAAAAACGTAATAATGCAGCTTCAACTTTCTGCAAGCAGCGTCAAGTTTATTGGACTGAACCTAATCTTTCTAAAATTACAGAAAACACACGTCAGGGTTCGGCACTCGGACCAAAAAGCAGCGTCTTCAAACGATGTTTCGATGTGATGGCGATGTGTCACTCAGCCGCCAGAGGAGCCGCTCGTCTCTCCGTTGAATTGTCAAATATTCATCTTTAAGCGTCGCTCCATCACTGTCCACAGGAGACGACACAATAAACGCTTCTGCTGACAATGTGTGACATCAATAACACCTCTGTGCAGCTGCTCACTGTCACCGTTTCCTTTGCGAAGAGATGTGGCACGGAGTGACTGATGGCTACGTGATGCAGCCGGCTGCGTGGTTTTAAGTTTCAGAATTTTTCTCACACACAAAAAGTTTCTCAAAACTTTGTGTTCATGCTTTCAGAACAGCCTTCAAACAACAGCAGTGAATACATTTTTACTGTTTGATTTTTGTTTGTTGTGTTGCCGACTGTCAAGAGACCAACAGCAGTTCCTCAAGTGTCCGCTAGGGGCTGTCTCCTGCAGTGAGTCAGTCCCCATAAGCCCCGTTTCCCCCTAGCGGTCCGGTTCAGCTCGTATGGTACGGTACCCATTTATTGGCATTTCCACCGTCAAAAGTTGGGAACAGTACCAATAGTTCCTACTTTTTTGGTACCCTTCTGTTGGGGTGCCAAGGGTACTGATCAGACCCTAAAGGGTCCATTTGTTTACTGTGTCCCATTCTTCTTCTTCTTCTTCGTTGATCTTAATTAATAGTGGGCTACACTGTGTTGGGCTGCTATGATGTCACAATATTTCATAGCTGACGCGGCTATCTCCATCTGGCTCAAACTCCTCTTTCCAAATAAGGGTACGTTTAGCTGTGGAAAAGCAAGCAAGATCCTTGTTTACTGTACCGAACTGAACCAAACTGTACTGAACCAAACCGGACTGCTTGGTGGAAACGGGGCTATAGAGCCCCCTGATAAAATGTACAACTTTACAGCAGAAATAAACATGTTTACAGCCCCGTACAAAATCTGTTTATGGTCTCTATAGCTAATTTCTCTCTTCATGACATCTGTTTATGTTTTATTAAAGGATTAAAGTGATGAGAAGAATATTCCCAGATGATGGAAGTCAAGAAACCAATCAGTGACATCACAGTCATTGTGGCCGTTACTGACACAGTCTATGTCAACATGTTAATAACCTCTGGAGTCAGATTTACCTGCAAACACAAAGTATGAGGATGAATGAATCATGTGTATTTGATGTGTTACCTTGAGCCAGGGGTGGTTCAGAGCCTCGTACACAGTGATCCTCTCAGCAGGGTCTAACATCAGCATACGTCTCACCAGGTCCTTAGCGCTCTCTGAGATGTGGCCCCACTGACGTGGATTCATCTACACACACACAAAAACATTCCAGACCTCACTTTGACGCACCGGGCTTTTGTCTTGTTTGAGTGGTTCTGCAGCCAAAACAAATTCACACATTTCTTGTCGTCCATAGTAACCTGGTCTCTGTGCTGATTGGTCTGATCTCTGATAAGCATTGTTTTAACTCAATAGAAAAAAGGGGTTAATTTCTATAACCTGTACTTAAAAAAACGAATGACAACTGCTTCATGATTGGAACAGACAGAGACAACAATATGAGAGAACGATTTTCAAAAGCCAAAATGTCTCTGAGTGATACTTCTTTTGAATTTCTGTTCAAATTTTGTCACAGACTGACGACTGAGCGTATGGTCTACCAAAGAAAGTCTGCGGCCTCTTGAGTCGAGTTTACATCACAAAGCCGTCGTTAGCATGAGAGCAACTGAAAGCAGAACTAATCACTCAGACTCGCGCTTTAAACACACTTGTGGTTTTTTTCAGTGCCTGATTGCGTTGCTAAGAAGGGGAACGAAGCGGAGGTCCAAAAACACACCTGCAGTTTTGTTGCTTCAAAGAGCAGGAAGGAAATCTTCAAGAGTATCACTTTTAGCCAATATAGAAACCAACACTTTGCAGGAACTGGCATTTTTTCTTAACTTTGCACCCTTTAGTTTGACAGTGGAATTCACTCTATTGCAGAAACGTAAGGGCCAGTCTGAGATGTATTCTCCTCCTGGGTTTGTATTAAAGTTTCAGCCTTTACATTACTTTTCGTAAGACTTATGCAGACCACAAACAAAGAACTGGATGGGTTTATTTCACATTTTGTGGGTCGGTAGACACTCAGGTTACCCAAATATATGTTCAAAAACACTGTAGAAGTGGATTTTTCATAATATGTCCCCTTTAATAGACAATGTGAACTCTACATAAATATCTATTTAAAGTGCGGCCTGTTCCTTTAAGCAGGGACTCTTGTGTTTTAATGACTGTTTGAAAACTCTCAGGTAGGAGCGCAGGGCGTCTGAAGGATCTCCTCACCTTGTACTTTCCTTTGCAGATGGCCTCAAACAGACGCTCCTTGGTGCCGTAAAAAGGCAGACACCCCGAGATGAGGATGAAGAGGATGACGCCGCAGCCCCAAACGTCCACGGGTTTGCCGTACGGCTCCCTTTTCACCACCTCCGGTGCCATGAAGTGGGGGGTCCCTACCCGTCCTGCAGGTACAAACACAGACTATTGATGACATGTCTTTATTTTTTATTCATCTCTACTTTTATGCCTCTAAACGGGAAGAGCTTTTCAGTAGGGCTTAATGCAGTGAATCTCAAAATGTCATGTGTCAGTTTTACCTCCTGCCACCAGTCCCGACTCTCCGAGCTGGATGGCAACTCCGAACCCCCCCAGCTTGACAGGAGCCGAGTTTTCCTTGGACGCCAGCAGCACACAGTGAGGCTGAGAACCAGAGGAGACAGACTTGTCATTTTAATGTTGGGTTTTCCTTGTTAACTAAAGAGCGACACCCTCCTATAAATAAATAACGAGAATCCCATGTGCACAGTAAGACACACCCAAACCCCCGAACCAACACCCAGCACGACCACAAACACAAAACCACATCAGTGAAGGAGGATCACAGGAAAACATGTGATATATGTTTGAGAATTTAACACTTGTATTTCAAGACTACTGTCAGTTTCTCGAGCAGAACATCAGTTTCTTTAGGAAATATTGAGTCTCTATCTACAGGTTTTCTACATAGAAATGTGAATTTCTAATGGGAAGGGTTCTAGATTCTGCTTGAAGCACATTTGTAGTCCGAGATGTATTGACCAGTTACATAAATGGTAAATGGAATTGAGCTTGTATATTTCTTTTCTCGTCTTCTGACTACTCAAAGCACTTTTACACCGCAGGTCACACCTACACATTCACACACTGATGGTAGAGGCTGCTGAGTAAAGAGACCATCAGAATTAACTAATCCCATTCACACACATTCATAAGCAGCGGGAGCAACTTGTGTATAAGTGTCTTGCCTAAGAACACATCGGACATGTTCCTGCAGGAGCTGAGGATTGAACCCTCGACCTTCTGGTTGAGAGACGACCGACTCTACCAACTGAGCCATACGGAAAAACGTCCCTTTCCATTATTTTTGTGCATTGAGACAGTTTGCAGGAGTTTATTGGATTCATTCCTCTCCTACTCACCTGTCCTATAAAAAAACATGTTTTTTTTAAAGCTTTGGCACTTACTGATACTTTTGATCATTACAATAACCAATGAAACCACGTGGTATTGAAATTTTCAAATTCAAATTCAAATTCAAAAAACTTTATTTGTCCCCGGGGGGCAATTCAAAGGCACACAGAGCAGTAAATTAACAACAGTGCAAGTAAACGAAACATTTTAACCTAAATATAAAGTGTCAATTTAAATACAACTTAAAGCTTAAACTTAACTTAAAAATACAACCGGAACAACCGGAATCGTACAATTGGATATAAAAAACCCAACAAAATACGTCTACTCTGGTAAAACGAGTCTTAAAGTGAACCCATGGTTGACTTTAAAGCGCAGGAATGATTCCCATGATTCTTTGTCTACGAGTTAAAAAGAGTCTACAGCAGCTCTTGTCTCATGGGAGGCAGTTTAAACTCTGTGAGGGTTTTTTATGTATTTATTCTGAGAGCACACGATTGTATTCTAGGAGCCTTTCTTCTGTCACAGAAGGCTTCACTCTGCAGACAGCTCCACATTATAATCAGAGCCCAGAGTGGAAATAAGACTGTGTACATACAAGCTCTGCCTGCTCTGTGATCGCACCGCTTCCCCTCCTGTGTGTAATCAGAAGCTCTGACACTAAGCCCTGCCTTTTCTCTCTGATTTCTGTGGAATGAGAAGAGGAGGGTTTGACCATAACTTTTTGGTCTCTGCTACATCACCACATTCAGCACTTCAGCGGTACTTGGTCTACTTTTAGCGTCGCAGCAGGGGAGGGCACGCTGCTCTCAGAGAGGAAACAAAAGACAGAAGCAGACCTCTGCGCAGCTTTATTTATATATTGGGTCACTGAAAGACAGAGCTGCAGAGAGTCGGATACATGCATTGGAAGATGCAGCAAAGTTTGGATACTTTTCTCTGCGTGTTACACTCTAGGGAATATACCGCAGGAGGGGAATAAAAGAACAGCAAAAACCACAATTGAGCAACTTTTTTGAGAAAAGCAAACATTGTGGTTTTTCAATGACTCGTGAGTACTCTATCGTGCTTTTAGAACAAAACTTTCACTTGTAAAACCGGCTGTAAGGTAAAAGCTGAATGCTATGAGTAAAGTATTCACTTAAAAAGTGAAGTGCGTGAACTCACTGAGCATAATCCTATGGCTGGGTATTTCATGAAAACCAGTGAAATCACGAGTTCTGCAAATTAATGTATTTTAAATGGTTTCCTGTTGATGTTAGAATAAACTGGTTTCATGGGTGATTAATTAATGGCCAAATCCATGCAGTTGGATTACATGTATCAGAAAAACCAAAACCTGCTCATGTAAAGCCAAAGGCTTCCCAAACAGATCCAAATGATTTCCCCTTATTTTCCACCTGCAGGGCTGAGGATCACGGAACCCACTATGGCAAAAAACACCTCGACATCGCCATCCACGAACACCTCCCAGTCTCCGAACAGCTCCCTTTTTCTCAGCGAGATGAACTTGCCGACCCAACCAACGTGTGTGGATTACGACGCTCTTCAAAGCCCATTGGCAGTGCTGTACACTATAATCTTCATCCTGGGACTCGTTGGGAACCTTGTGGCTCTGTGGGTTTTCTTCTGTGTTCACTCGAAGAAGAACTCTGTGCGGGTGTTTCTCATTAACGTAGCATTCGCAGACCTGCTCCTAGTGGTTTGTCTGCCCTTCAGGATCCTCTACCACAGCAGGGGGAACGTGTGGAGCCTGGACCCCACCCTATGTAAAGTGGTGGGAACCCTCTTCTACATGAACATGTATATCAGCATCACACTGCTCGGTCTGATCAGTGTGGATAGATACCTGAAGATCAATCGAGGAGCTGGGGTGCAGCTAAGGCTGCGGTCCACCAGGTGGAGCTCTATTACCTGTGCGGTCCTTTGGATCATGGCCTCCGCTTTGACTCTGACAATGCTGACGTCAAATAATCACTCGCAACAGGAAAGGTTGGTGACATATAAACTCTGTTGTTGATGGTGTTTGATATTAAATATGAGATTCCTCAAGGAAGCATTCTTGGACCACTTATGTTTTCATTATAGGTGCTAGCTCTTAAAAATATTATAATATATACCCATTTCAATTGGCTCAGGTTCAAACCTTTCAAATTGTAAACGAATCCATAGAGAGAATGAACAACAGAGAACATTGTTTTTAATATCTAGCTTAAAAGAACATAAAAAAATCTAGACATGGTGGCTGCACACTTTTTCATCAATCAAATGTGAGACTTTTTTCAGACCCACACAAAGAAAAATGTATCCAGAAATTTTAAACTGATTTAATGTCGGCTTTGATTCCCAATGTCAAAGGTTCAAAAGCTTTTTTTTGTGTGCAGATTTTGCAGTTCACCTGATGATCGTGGTTTGGCCCAAACAACTGTTATCTGTCTTTGTAATCTTAAAGCCAATCTCCTTTGAACTTGTATTTCCTCATCTTATTTGTCTCTCCTCCGTTCACATTGAGGGCGCGGTCACACTGGCCATCCGTACCGTGCCTAAAAGCACGATTACCTCTTGTATATAATGTCATAATACAATGCATGCATAACTTTGCAGCTTATTTTAAGCCATTTTTATAAGACACAGCCATAAATAAATAAATAAATAAAATAGATGCACGGTACGGATGGCCAGTGTGACTGCGCCCTGAGTGTATTTGTACACGTGTGCAACCACAAAGATGTCATGAATTGTCAAGGTGACAAGCAAATCCACTTAAAACGAATAACAAAAAAAAAGTACCAACTTCAATTCAAGACCTCTAATAAGTAAAAATAGGACTTTTAAGACATTGTATGACCTTACTTTTTAAAATCTAATTTAAGGACCTGCAGGAACCCTACAAAGAATGAAAAACAATTGTGAGAAGACTTTTCTTGACACATTTCTATCATTACTCTCTGCTGAAGAGAAACCTTCTGTTGAAAGTCTCTGAAGATTTTAACACTGAAAAGTGTTTTCACCACATCTTCCTGTCGTCATGTGAGCGTCTGCAAAACAGTGGTTTTAAATGTTCACTCCTTTATCAAAGTGGTTTTAGCAGTTTTTATTAAGCATTCAACTTGTTATGATGGGAAGGTCCCTGCAGATAATTCAGCTCCCTTAAAAACACCTTGTGACAGATGAATACTGAAAACAAGTCGAGCTTTAAATGTATTAAAGACATCTGAGGCTTTTGTTAATATTTGTTATTATGTTTGATCACTTAAGCCATTTCATTCATAATCAGGATACCCTTCAAACTGGCAGAGTTATTTAATTGTGTACCCTTATTGATGTTGACAATAAGAACAAAACATCTTGATGAAGTTTCTTCCGAGATGAGGCCTTAATTAATCAGACTTTTCATATATTGATTGTGTATTAACTGCACCATGTGAGATTTATTTTGAGCTGATCGAACATATTTGTCGTTTACAGATGTTTCCACTACAAGACACTCCTTAAAATGAAGTGGAAAGCGTACATCAACATCGCCCTGCTGGTCTTCTTCTGGCTCATCTTCGTCTCGCTCGTCGTGTCTTACGGAAAAATCGCTCTCAAACTCCTGAGAACTTCGCAGGACAAACCGGACCTGCCAAACGCTCAGCACTATGCCCGATCTGCCAGGAAATCCTTCTTCATCCTCTTCCTCTTCACCGTCTGCTTTGTCCCCTATCACATGGTCCGAGTGTTTTACATCAGAACACAGATCACAGACACTTCCTGTTTCTGGAGGGGCGTGGCCGATAAAGCCAACGAGGTGGCTTTGTTGTTTTCTGCTCTGAACAGCTGCCTGGACCCTGTCATGTACTTCCTGTTGTCCTCCTCAGTGAGGAAGGAGGTGTTGCGTTTGGTGAGCAGTGTGTTTCGAGTGAGAGATGTTTCTGGAGTGAGCGGGAGCAGCTCGACAGTCGACATGGACGGTAAGAGGACCGACAGAGGACCGACAAACCGCTGCTTAGTCAGCAGCGGTTGGAAGGAGAACGAGGTGACTGAAACCAGCCTCGCAGGGCTTTGAAGACTCTTCGAGACAATTAACCTCCACCTTTGTACGTTACCATGACGCCAAGCAAAACACAGACAACGGAGCAGCAACAAGAGCGAACGAAAAACATTACAATACTTAACGATACATCTGCAGATACCTACAAGTATGCATCTATATAAAAAACTTTTTACAGAACATATAAGAAAAATAAAGCTTAAGTTGATTTAGAAATGGTGTCATCAGAAAATTTGTCCTGCAGAGTGCGCACTTAAACTGGTTGACAATGGATAATAATGTTAAATATTTTTTTAATAAAGTGATTTGTTTAAGCAGCTTTCTCAGTGACCTTTGCACATTCCTACATGTGAACAAGCCACAAAGGTGGTCAAAAATGTGCAATACTTTTTTGATACTAAAATATCAAACAGCACGCACATCTGAAAAGTTGAGTACTGAGTGCAGGACAAAAAAACATACAAAGACAGAGAAAGACAATCTGACAAAGGGCGAGGGCCCGAAACGTTACATGTGGTGATTATTCTCGTTAAAATTTAATTGGAGCGACTTGTGGTGCGCACTGTCTCGGTCATTTTTTGATACCACAAGTTTTTTTTTGAAGCTCTTATTGGGTAGGACAGCTTAAGGGTAGAAGTAAAAGTGTGGATGGCATGCAGCAAAGGGCTGTGGTCGGACATGAACCCACAGCTGCTGCGACGAGGACTATCTCTGTACATGGGGCACGACATAACCACTAGGCAACCAGCGCTACAAACTACAGCAGAGGTCAAATACCTCCAAGAAAAATTACATCTTTTTCACAAGACAGGTGCAAAAGAGAGGAGTGAATCCATCAAATAACTGCAGGAAAACTCTTGCACGGCATCTAAATTGCACAATCAATTTGTAATGTTTCGGTACTTGTACAATTCCCACAGTTCCCAGTAAGTGGTTTTTTTTTTAGTCCACTCCTAGGTTACATGCATGTTTTTTTTTCTTTTGTATCAGAGTATGTTCACAGTGTTGCATTTCTACTTCTCTGCAGCAAAGCGTCTGAATGTCTTCTCCAGGACTAACACACTTCCCTCTCTTTGCCTCACAGCTAGAAGTAGAACAGCAGCGCCCTCCGAAGGCAGAATAAATACAGAGATAAAGTAAAGTACATATGTTGTTTTCACTTTGGGGAAAAGCAGGGCACACAGAGGTTTTTCGCTGTGACACAATAAGAGTTTAAATGATGATGTATTATCAGACGTCATTCCCTGAACCTGCTCTGTCTTTGTGCATACTGCAGACTGTTTTTAAAGGGTTTTATTTGGCTGCAGAGTCACCTTAAACCACATTATTTCACAAACATGGTGGATTCTTTTTTTTTTCTCATTTCTTTTTGCCAAAGTCTGTTGTCTGTTGTAAATAGATTTGAGCTTGTATATTTATTTTCTAGTCTTCTAGCTACTCATAGGTCTTGTACATCGCAGGTTACACCTACACATTCACACACTGATGGTAGAGGCTGCTATGTAAAGTGACCATCAGAAGTACGGTAACTAATAATATTCATTGCCGCCGCCGAAGCAGCGGGAGCAATTCAGAGACACATTGGACATGTTGCTGCAGGAGCTGGGGATCGAACCCTTGACCTTCCGTATGAGAGACGAGGACTCACAGCCAAGCCACGGCCACTGTGAATTTTTTTTTTAATCAATCATCAATCAATCAAGCTTTATTTATATAGCACCTTTCACACAAATCAGTCAAGTGTCGCAGCCTGGACTTTCTGATATGAAGTCTCTGTGTGTCAGCGAGAATACTCCTGATAACATAAAGATCAAATATAATAGAATTTAAAAAGATGAGAAGAGGGTTTCTGAGTAGAATTAAAGGTTGAAGCTCATAATTAGGGGTTGGGGGTGAGGAGTACAAAAAGAATTCAAGACTCTACTTGCATACTTTCCAAAAAAAATAGGTGTTGCTGCAACATACAGCTGTGGGCAGGCAGCAAAGTTCATGTGGGACTTTTAAAGATAAACCTGCATGCTGTAAACGCAGCAACACAACGCCTACACTTCCTTTCTTATCAGCCACACAGAGTTACTGTCAGAGTTGTTAAAGTGAAAATATATACAGTAGATGGTTAAATTTAAATGCAGAACAAGAAGTTGCAATCATAGAGCAGTTCTGAGGTAACTACCATCGACCTTTACTTTAAGAGTAAGCAGGAAGAGGGACCGCTACTTCTACTTCCTGAGTCCACTCTCTGCTCATCTTTAAGTTGACTGAGTTTTTGTTCTTGGTGATGTCTTTGAATGATCGTCAGAGCTCCTGTCAGTGGTATGTATAACAATGACTCCATCATTATTTTTTAACACCAACCCTCATTTGTAAAGCTGTACTGTTAGTTATGTTGTTGTTTTTATCACTCCTGAAATAAATGACCGTTTCATTAACTTAAGAAATGTACTTAGATTAACATCAGGTGTTCAAAAACAATTCTCTTTATCCTTTCACTGCCTTAGTTACTGTAGTAATCATAACTTTATTTACACAGCACATTTAAAAACATTGACATATGGGTAAAGTAATATGAAATACTTTCCTAGAGGATAGAAAATTAAAAAAATTCCTGAACTGAATCATTGTGAATCTGCCATGAAATCCAACATTTGATCATTTTAAAGGATATTTGGGGATGAATCTTTCCTAAATTTTCAGTTGCTCTTCAAAGTAAACCGCTTTAACAGATAAATCATTAAAGGAGCAATCTGTAAGATATCTAGTGAAATAATCATAACATGACTTTACACTGCTTGGTTCTTTAGTGGAATATTTGTTTGGTTGTTTTATTAGTGGGACAATTGTTTGGTAGGTTGCTTGGTTTGGTAAATGGTAAATGGACTTGAGCTTGTATATTTATTTTCTATTCTACTCAAAGAGCACCCACCCCACCCCATTGTCCTTTGGTTGGCTGGTTGTTTGCTTGGTTGTTTAGATAAAGGGTTCTTTGGTTGGTTGTTTATTTAGCTGGACTTTTATTGGTTAGCTGGTTGGTTGGTTGTTTAGTTAGATGTTTATTTGGTTTGTTGTTTCATTAGTGTGACAGTTGTTTGGTTAGCTGGATGGTTGGTCTGGTCGTAGTTTGCAGCCTTGGTTGGTTGGTGGGTTTGTTGGTTTATTGTTGGGTATTAACACAACCTGCTTCCCTGTTTCTTTTATGTTCCTACAGATCAGATGGCTCTCACATTTAACTCTTCTCCGCCTGATAACACTTCCTCCTCCTTTGTCCTCTCCCTCTGCCCCACTGCCACTACGCTCTTCATCCTCCCCCTCCACCTACACACTCCTCTTCCTCACCGCTCTCCCGGGAAATGCTCTCTCTCTCTGGGTGTTCCAGCGGTGCATCACCTCCATCTCCCCCACCCACGTTTATCTGTCCCACCTGAGCGTCTCCAACCTCATGTCCTCCCTCACCATGCCCTTCCTCGCGGCGTACTACGCCCGGGGCTCCGCCTGGCCTCTGAGCAGTGCCCTGTGTCAGCTCGTCCTGCACGTCATCACGCCAAACTACTTAATCAACATGTACATCAGCCTCATCATCCTCACTTTGGTCGCCCTCAACCGCTTCGCCTCGCTCATCAAGCACACACATGCCTCCCGACCGAGCACCTGCACCACCCTGCTGCCTAACCGATTCTTCACCTGCCTCACTAGGACCGCCTTCGCCCACCGGGTGTGCGTGGCCATGTGGGTAGTGGCGGTCGGGGGCATTGTTCCGGTGACAGTTTACTACTCTGTGAAGGAGACTACAGCCGACGCAGAGAAAGGAGTAGGAAGTGGAGGAGAGGGAGTTTGTTACAGCCCGGCGGTAGAGCTCGGGGGCGCTCTCTCTGCTGTCTTAAATGCCCCCTCTGATCCTCCTGTTCTTTGTGTTCTACCTGCTGGTCCTGCTGTGCTACATGACGGTGCTGAGACACATCAGACGCTCCCGACGCAGCACCAACATCCCCACCTCCCACAGCCAGCTGGGACGGGTGCTCCGAAACATTGTGGTCATCCAGGTGGATATGAGTGTGTCTCTTTAAAACAGAAATATCCATATGACATGTGTCTCTTAATAATAACATTTGAAACCGGCTCCTCCCAGGTGGTTCTTTCAGTTTGCCTGCTGCCGTATCACATCTTCAAACCTGTCTTCATCTACCTGGCTCATGATCAACCTATGCTGACATTTTCAACTCGACCCGACACCTGCCATCCACTCTCCACCATCGTCGAGGTGACCAAATAGCCTATCGCCTTAAATAGGAATTCAAGTACTTTAGAATGGGGTCACTATCTTGAATGGCTTACCGGTAAAAAAAGGTACAAAGGGTTTTCTTTAAAGTAGATTTCTTCATCCTGCAGCAGTGAAACAGGCTGTGATGTCTGCAACATAATGGATCAAAGTGTGTCCAGTTGGTTTTGTCACTAACCAGCTCCGATCGATCTTCTATGTGTGTGACATTACAGAACCGGAGAGGTTACGAAGAGGAAGAAGGTTGTTTTTTTTTCAACCACAAACAGCTGTGACCTCAAGCTCTACAAACACACCCAAACATGAGAGCTTCCTGTTAGCTGCTGCTCTAGTTTTGTTAGTTTTATTACGTGACAGCATGTTGGTTAATTTAGGATCCAACACACTGTGACCATAGGCTGTAAATATTTATGGTCAGCTTTTTGTGTATCACACAATAACACAAACTGCTAACAGATCAAGGTAGAGGTAGAGCAGCAACTCCTAAATAAGAGGTGAAATATTGTTTTTGCCGATAGAGTCTGGTGTGATTGTAGAGAGTGATGTCACAGCTGTTTAAGAAATCATCACAGATAATTACAGCCTGTTTCTGCAGAAGTAACTCCACAACTTTCTGTAGGTCATTTGTACCTCAAATATGTTAATTAGGGCCCAAGTTTAAAAAATACAGAGATAACTCTTTTGATCCAAGAGGATATTACTCCTTAACACTTCACAGGAATCATTGAGTGTAACATCAACATGTTCTGTCTCCTTTCCCTCCAGCTGAAGAGCTTCTTGATATTTCTGGCTGAACTGAGAGGAGCCACTGACCCGCTGATGTACTTCCTGTTGGACAAAATGTTCCGAAGCCAAACCCTGAGACTTTTCAGGTGCAACAAGCCCGACTCTGGGAGCAGACACGTGCACTGTTCAATTACGGGGAGTGTCAGTCAGAACACTTGACAGCAGAGCGGGAGGTCAAATGTGGCTGCAATTGGACAGTGGATTCAAGTCATGACGGTGTTTTGTAGCTTGTACATTTTAAGAGACCTCAGATGTTTTAGAGGTCCTGGTAGTCTTGTTGTTGGGAGGCATCGTCTTAAAACGGCCCAAACATCCCCACAGTGATTTTATCAGCGACTTTTGTTGCACCACACGCTTCTCTTTCTACAAGTCAAAAACATTTAAAAAACGCTCTCCTCTGTGGGGAGAAACACGATGCCATTTTGTCTTTTTCAAGTAGACATGGAAATGTTAGTCGAGCAGCCGTTGTGTGCAACAGCAGGCTATAAATATTTGATATGTGTGTCATAAAGCTTGTTCAGTAATTGTGTGTGAATTATAGATGAAGGAAACACAGTGTGTGTGTGTGTGTGTGTGTGTGTGTGTGTGTGTGTGTGTGTGTGTGTGTGTGTGTGTGCACAAGGTGTGTGTGAGGCTGTTTGGGGAGTTTCTGGAGAAGACAACGCTCTGTGAAGTGTGGCCCCTGCAGGTGTGTGTCCTCCTGCGGGGCCCGCGCTTCTCAGACTGAAGCAGACAGCTCAGAGAATCAAACACTCTGTAATGTGTGCACACACACACACACACACACACACACACACAACACACAAACACAAAAAGACACGCCAGAGTTAAGAGAAAGGTGTAGGAGAGGAGAGGAGGAGAAGATAAGTCTTGAGTCTGAAACAAACTGCAGCGCGAGGAATAAAATAACAAGAAATATCATCTAACCTTCATCCTAAAACAAAGATTTGGTGTCACAGGAGGCGGGACACAAACTCAGAGACATACATAGAAATAACCACACGGCACGATAAGACAAGGTACGTAGCCCATGATGACGGTGATACCGCCATACAGCGATTCTGTGTTTCATATTCTGTCAGACAATCCTATAATAACGCATCGAGATATTTGATTCACTGCGGCCTGTTGCAGCAGCTGTGTGTAAGTTGTGTCTTCCGTTCTGGGGAAAAGTCCACACTAAACCCGACGTGTAAATTGTTTTTTTTAAGCTTAAATTGTGTCAGTGTTTGGTTACTATGGAGACGTAAGCTTAATCTTAACTAGTCGAGCGTAACATCCAAAATAACCAAAATATTGTTGCAGATATGACATTTTAACTCAGTGTGACCAATCAGGGAGCAGCATTTTTTTCTTGCAGTGAAGGAACTTGTGTCTGATCGTCTCTGAACAGACGAGCGGCTGAAAATAACTTAACTTACTCACCACACACACTAACTTAAAATGTTTATGAAGTAAAACAAAGCATTATGGCGAAGTGATAATGAAAGCTTACAGCCTTCATCTACAGCTGGTGTAAAATAAAAACAGGGACCTCTGGTGGTGAAATCTTCAACTGCAACATGAGGTCATTTAACAGTCCTCTGTGATTGGACGGATTCAATTCTCTCCCCTCATGGAAAACTAAAGCAGGAGTAAAAACAGAGTCATCAAACATTTCAGAGGGATGTAATCTATCTGGTAAACCCCCTCTGCTCCTCCTCATCCTCCAAGGTATCCCACTTTCCAAAACCATCACCGTGACAACCGTATTTTACAGATGTCTTTACAGCTGCTAGAAACTAGGTTTGAGATTCAAGATGTAACTTCTGCTTACGTTTGGGACTTTCTCAGCTTGTGAAACGCCTTAAATGTTAGCAGAGTGTAAACTCCTTCGGATATTAGAAATTACATCCAATCTACATTTGGTTTTAACTCATGCAGAGCTGGTGCAACCCCGTACTGGCTCTATGTCAGGAGCAGACATAACACCCTTTCTTCTACCCTGAAAACTGTAATCTTCTAGAAAACACTGAATTGCTTTAGTGAAACTACTCCGTCTCTGTTCTCTCACCAGGAGCCGCCGTGCTCATTTGGTGATTCCATTTACTCACAGAACTCTGTTCGTCTTCATCCAGAGTGTTACCTAAACTTAAACGTGTGTGTGTGTGTGTGTGTGTGTGTGTGTGTGTGTGTGTGTGTGTGTGTGCGTGTGCATCATTAGTCTTCGTGCTGCAGGCCGGGTTCTCCTCGGAGACGCATTAGTTCCAGTGGTTGTGTTCTGTTGTTGAAGAGCAAACACACAATGACTGATGAATGTCTGCGTCTGTTGGAGCTAAACGCTCTCAGACGTGAAGGATCATCAGCTCGCGGCTCTCTCAGGAGCGCTCACACAAACACAGAAGTTGGATCAAAAGTTTCCAATAAACTGTTCTGCAGAGTGAGAGGGGGAGTGTCCTCTTCATCGGTTCATGGTGCGGCCTTTCAGGGACTAAACTGAAAACAGCATCATTGTTGCAGCAAGTGAGAAAAAAGCCATTTTTGTGCAGGAAGCAACATGCAAACTAAGATGAAGATGGGACTTTAAGCTGAACTAAATGCATTAGCTTTAAATGTCTGATCTTCTGTTTATCACACTTCAGTAGCTTTGTAAAACTCTGCTTACACTGAAGTATTTATTTCCTCCAAAAAGGCAAAAATTAACTGAACTATAAGTTAAGATCGGTTACTAGACCGATTTATCTTCACGAGCGTATGAGAGCATGAGTGTGTATGACAATCGCTTTGCTGTGAGGTGCCTCTGTGGAAGGACACATTTTGGAAAACGTCCCTTAAATGATCTGGAGTTCATGTGTGGAAGCAGAAAAGATGCTGCATCACTTCGTCTCCTTCACTTCAACAAAGACTGTGCTGCAAAAACATGACGACAAACCCTGACATGAGGGTGACAATCACTGCAGCACAGAGGGATCATTTCTCCATCCAAGCGGGACAAATGTGCAGTTTTCAAACCATCAGAACGTGTGTAAACGTGCAGATATGTTGGATCTTTAATCGTGATTATCTGGAGACTCATTCGGGCTCTGCAGTACTGGCCAAACGTCGGCTCACAAACAGAGCTAACAACGGCCCTGTGTGTGTTTCACAAAGAGGTCGACATGGGCGAGGGTCTTTTTTTTTTTTTTTTTTACCTTGTGAAGACAGCTGACATTCAGGTATACAGCAGGGAGGCTTCTCTATTTCTGTCCTATTCATATGTAAAGTGTGACATTTGCTCTGCAGCCGGGCCGGAGGGAGAGGAAGAGAGGGAGCGATACGACACTCTGCAGGTGACAAACAGGTGTCTGAGGACTGAAGACTACACGGGGAAGTTCACTTTCTACTTCAATCAGATGTGATGATGCATCACTGACAAATGTTCAGCATGTGTGGAAATCAACACAACTCAAAACAAAGTGTTACCTGCTGCTGACACTGCAGTATGTGTTGAAGAAAAGACAGCTTTTTTAAGATGAACTGCATTTATCCTACAAGACTAGAGGTCAAGAGGTCAACACGGCCATTATCTTTGGTCTGAATAACTGAAAAGTACAAAACATTTCTATATGTCTCCTGTAGATTTCTTCATCCTGCAGCAGTGAAACAGGCTGTAAAGTCTGCAATAAACTGTAACCCTCGATGGATCAAAGTGTGTCCAATAAAAGTTGCTTATGTCACTGACCGGCTCAGATTGGTGCGAAGGTGTCCTTGTTTTCCATCACTGAACTCTAGAGATTCCCATTCCTTGTATGGTGTAAACCTTCTTAGCAGTAAGAACAATTTACGACTGAGATGATTGAAAATGTGGAGATGCAGGCATTTGATAGTGGCAAAAAGTATCTGTGGCCGTTTTCACATACGCACAAATGTGGCGGTTTGCATTCACTCCTCCAGTTTTTCAGGAGTTTCTACAAGTGTGAAACCCCCCTAACCCTTTTAAAAATGATCACCTGAAGAAGAGCTCTGGTCGAAATGAAGTGATTTTGCGGCAATTGAGCAAGTGTGCGGGTTTATCTTCTTTCTCTTGCAAGTGTGAAAGCCCAATAAATCTACATGCACAGAAACCCAGAGGAAGAAGCTAAAATTCCAAAAAAGAGATTTTTACTTCTTTACTCTGAAAGCTCAAAACTATGATCTGAACACTGTCAGATGCTTAAAATATAAAAATACATTATGTACAGGTTCTCACACACACAAGTTTCACAAGAGTAAAAATAAGTTCCCTCTCTGAGATGACAAAAATAGATGTCACTAGAAAGTAGAAACGCAGATGTTTGTGCAAAGTTTCTGCAGACACTTTCAGTTTTAAAATTCACAGAGGTACAGCCATCTGTCCTCGGTTTACCTGCAGAGGAAAGAGGTACACCTGTTGGTAGGTGAGAAATATGTCTGCACTCCATCATTCATGTCTACATCACAAGTTTTTCTGTGTTTACGGATTCCTCAGGTTGCTCGACACGCCGTCAGTCAGGATGTGTTTTTCAGATCAGACAGTTGAAAAACAGAACGCTCGAGCTCAAACACAAACCGAAAACAAAGTTCACCTTCAAAATGTAAACCTGTGCTCCAAGCTGTGCAAGCCAGCCTGCAAGACTAACAAACTAATTCTGTGCTTCTGCAGCACTGAGAGGCACACACAGGCACACACACACACACGCTGGTGGAGGTCTGCGGTGAGGTGAGGATGGAGATAAACACTCAGACATCTCAGTGATTTATGGACACAATGATTCAAATGAATTCAGTGACTTTCATGCAGGAGAGAGGAGGCTCACTACGACTGATTCCATATTCACCAAGGACGGCTCTGCTGTTTACACAGTGTGTGTGTGTGTGTGTGTGTGTGTGTTGTGTGTGTGTGTGTGTGTGTGTGTGACCTTGTAGAGGACATAAATCTCACTCAGTGCTTCTGAAAAAGCTGCAGCAGAGCTTAGAGTCACAGAGTCACCGATAAATGGTGATAATAGACATGAACATCATCGTGAGTCAAAGTCAGACGCACGCACGCACGCACAGAAGACTAATGTTCAGTTTTGTGTCATATATTTATAATCCAGAAGTTTAGTGTCTTTCTCTAATGCTAAAACAATTTGAATCCTTCAAACTGCGAAAGAAATGTTCCTCTTTAGCGTGTTTGCTTATATCACTATTTCTGTATTTCCTTAGCCCAATTCAGACCGCCGTTTCAAGCCGCGATATTTTACGTCCCTGCGTCGCCTTCAGTCTGATTGTCAAGGAGGCGTGGCACACTGTAAATACTGTCACTTTAAATGTAAGCGAACGACGCGTTTCTCCTGCAGCTTCCTCAGGTTAGCCCAGTCAGACAAGCACAAATTGTATTTTGCCATTAGTAAGCCTCATTCAGACCGCTGTTTCCCCTTCAGTCTGAATGTTGCAGAGGCGTAATGGGAGGGCGAAGTGAACCCCTCTCTGTGCCGTCTTCAGAGGTAGAAACAGAAGCCTGACAGGGGCGAGACGGGGCGTGTATGTGGAGCCTCCACAACACCCGAAACGCAATGTGAATCCCCAGATTGGGACAACAATATTACGCTGCTGCGGAATCAATATGAATGAACACAGACGTGATGATGATGGCTGAGTTAAGCTTCAGGACTTTTGTGAAAAAAAAAAACGTCTGATAAGGGATCACAAAGTCTAAAGCTTCTGTTTTAATCCTGAAAGACAGAGATAGAGACCTGTATGCACAGCATCTACTTTATATTTTACATATGAAGCAATGCTCACTGCATGAGTCTCTGTTACAGAAACTAATAAAATGAAGAAATAACAACAGTGATAACATTTCACACACACACACACACACACACACACACACACACACAAACACAAACAGACAGTGAAATCTGTGACAGAAACATCTTCACAGTCACTTTATTAATCGACATTCTGTCACGGAGCTCACTCGATCGAACGCGTCGCCCTCGGGGAGAGAACAGGCTGACATGTTCAGATTTCGGCTCTGACTCTGTAAGAAGTCCTGCTGTCACCGTTTCATTATCTCAGAAGAAGAAAAAAAAAAAAAGTTCCAACATTTCAGATTTCCCTCCGTCGATTATCACTATCAGAGAAACTGATACAACAGAGGCTGCTCCAAAACGTGATTCTTCCATATGAAGCTCAAACTTTAATGTAATGTCTGCGGGAGGGATACAGACGTCATGTGTTGCCTCCTGAGACCTCTCACCCCCTCCCCGTCTGACAGGAATCGTCTCCCCTTGTCAGGTGCATGTGTGAACTAGCAGCTCAGGAGGATTTTAGAGGCAGTAATCCTCAAGTTTTCTAGATATTTTCAGGAGTGCATATGTCATAAGTTAATTTTTTGCTATGTAATATGAGAAACGTGCATAATGAGATGTGAGATAGAAAGGAATATGCATGTGTCAACCTGCAGCAGCCAATATGAATCCTGCTACTACAGGAGGTGGGTGATGATTGAATCCTTACATGTTGTTTTAGGATTTGTTGAATCGGATTATCGGTTATATTTGAGGAAGTGTTGGACGAATCTGTGTTTGTCTGACCGAGCAGGATTGATATTGGCCAAAGAGCTTCGATGTGTTGTCGAGAGAGACAGAGAAAAGAATGAGAGGAATAATCAGCGCATGTGAGAGAAATGAGACCTTGCTGCAGAGTTATGTGAAACAGACGATTGGAGCACAGAAATCAAGGTCCGTGCTGCAGCAGAAATCAAAGAGAAAATGTTTTTTATATCCAGGAGAAGAAGAAAAAAAAAAAAACTGTGTCTGCAGAGAGGAAACTGAATCTCCTGCTGCCCGTCTGAACTCTGCAGCTGGATCTCTCCCACATTCAGACAAAGAGCCAGAGCCTGTGATTCAGCAGGGACTCAGTGAATACAGATAGGACTGTATAGACTGTGATGACTAATACCTGAGAACAATGTGAGGAGGGAGAGATGGTAATCCACATGCTGCAGGAGCTTCATAAAGCTTTGAGACGGTAATAAAAGAGAAATAAAGGCGAGTAGTGCGGATCAGAGCTGTGACCATCGTCATCAAAACATTAAAGTCACAAACAGGGAGGCTGCAGAGGGAACCGGTGCTGCTTGTTTTTATGAGTAGAAAGGAGACAAAAAGAGACGCCAGAAGTCTTATTTTCTCCTCAATCGTCTGGGACGCCCCGATTTATTTCAAACATGTCTGATATTTAGGATTTCTCATCTGACGATTACATCCGGCAGTGGTCATGTGTGTGCGAGACGAGGGATGACTGTGTAATAAATATTTGATCAAGTCTTCAAACTCGACCTCAGTTCGGATGAAACCTGAATACAATGTGTGTTATTACATCAGAGAGGAGCCCTGGATCTTTTTGAAGAAGTTGTCTCCTGATTTTTTCAGCGATCAGCAACATGATAGACGATTAGAGGAAGTGACCCCGAGTCCAAACTCTCTCTCCACACACTGTTACTGTAATCATTAACGGGGGAATAAAAGAGAAAGCAGCCCACAGCCAGAGCTGAATGATCTGCATGTTAATTGATATCGGACGACTGTCAAACGTGAGGACGAGGCTATCAGGAAATTAACTTGAGGATTTCCTTTGTGCAGCGCCAGAGATGAAACTGTGCACAAGCCAAAGTGCTTGCAAGCAGATTTCAGACGTTTTGAAGTACATCAGAGCCGACTGAACTCCTCTTTGTGAAGCCAACATGTGCTGCAGACATTCTAAATACAATATTTAAAAGATTAATGTTGCATTAATCATCCTTTAAAGGTCACATATTATCACTTCTTGATGTTCCTCTAACACTAATATGTGTCTCTAGTCTGTCTACAAACCCCCCCAATGATGAGAAAAGTCCATCCTCTCCGTCTTTAGCCTGCTCCACTTTTCAGAAAATGTGTGCTCAAACAGGCCGTTTGGAGATTTCCCCTTCATGACATCACAAAGGGCAGTAACCCCTCCCCCAGGTGGGTGACACTCCCACAGCTAGGTGTTTGTTCTGCCCTCTGAGTCTGCCTTCTCACCGTAAACAATAGGACATGGAGCGAGAAAGACCGAGCCGCTCAGTTTTCAGAAACTAAAAATTCAGCATACATCACTTTGTTTTAGAGTCAATGAAAACGTTCTTGAAAGCGGGCTGAGACACAGTCATGAGAGTATGAGTGACAGCTTTGACTCCGGCCTAAATAACTTGTACTTGCCGAGAAAACAGAAGTAAGTTTGTTTACAAAAAAAAACAAAAAAGAAAAACTGAGATAACAGTGATGTAGAAATACCTTGACATCTCTGTGGATGACGTTGTTGTCATGGCAATAGCGCAGAGCCTCGAGGATCTGTCTCATGTAATGACTAAAGGAAAAAAAGAACAAAGAATTGTGTTTATATCACAGAAACGTTTTTTTTTATCTTAACAATGGCTGCTAAAGAAGAGAAATTAACCGTTAGATTTGAATGCATAAATATCTCACCTGGCCACCGCTTCACTGTAGACGAAACCAGCATCTGCACGCTTCACGATCTCAAAACACAGGTCAGCTCCGTCCATACTGAGAGAGAGAGAGAGAGAGAGAGAGATGAGTGTGCGGTAAAGGTCAGGGCAGGTGTCTGGCTCAGAAAGGTCACCCTTATTAAGACTTCAGGTGTGTGTCTCTCTGTGATTGGTTGTGTGGGTTGAACGGACACACACGGGTCAGCTGAGGTGAAGCCGTAATTAAGTCTCGTCTCTGCGGGGTCCAGATTGAAACAGCTGCATCACCTCAACTGACAAATCTGAGGCTGGTTCGATGCTTGAAAATGTCCTGTCGAGATCTTCATGAGGGCAGGAGAAGTTACAACTTTTTTCGGTTTCGTTTTTTTGGTGATTAAATAAGTTGTTGTCACGATACCAGAATTTTAAACTTTGATAAATCAGACTATATTGAACCCTGTTTAAATAACCCGGCAACAAAACAACAAGTCCCAGACACCCAGTATCGGGTCATTTCTTCTTTTTGTAAACTCCTGCACACTGTCTAAATCGCACGAGTACGAGCCAGTGGACGAAGATCTCCAAGTGGGTGGTCTGGGTTCAAATCTGACCTCTGGCTCCTTTCCCACATGTCATGTCATTCCCCACTCTACCCACTGTCCTCTCTCTCCAATGAAGGCACAAAAACCTTCACACAAATATGTCGACAACATTTTGGACAGTGCTCTATCTAATTTTCTCTGAGCAATCGTGACCATCAGGGCCATCACTGATGTTAAACATACCCAAGGGTAGCTTGGGGCTGAATTCAGAGATCTCACTAAGCGGTCACACAAAGCTGGTTATCAAGTCGATAAATCAACCCAGAGTTTCTATGACTGTTTGCATAAAAGGGGAGGAGTTACTGCATGACCAATTGAAACAAATCAGCAGATCGTCATGCTTCACACACTCAGGGAAAACTAAATAAATGAAGAAGGTAAACACACTTGAAACTAAAATCACAGCTGCAGGATGACAAATCATCAAATGTGAATGTGCAGATTATTTATCGGGTGAGCGCAGTGCTGTGTGTGTGTGTGTGTGTGTGTGTGTGTGTGTCTGTCTGTGTGTTTGTGAAGCTCCGCTGTGCCATGACTCTGCAATGTGAGTGTAGACAACGAGTCTGAAACAAGAGTTAATTTAATGAAGTGTCGGAGCTATCTCAAGGTCTCTTTTCAGTGGGAAGAGCACGTTCTGCAAATGGTTCAAAGAGCTCCACGTTAGTAACCGAGTGTTCAGGAGGAGAATCTCGTGTTTTAATTTAAAGTTTAAAGCTGTTTCATTTATGTAATCCCTGCAGAGTAATTAACAGTTAAGACAAAAGGCAGCTTCTCATCTCTGTTAAAAACAAAAAAAAACAGCTGAAAAACATCCTGTTTACTTCCACACGTGATGCTGGACTGAAAGACAGTACATACACAAACGCACACGCACACACACACACACACACACACACACTTAATTGTGAGTGAGTCTTTTAGCTGCAGCAGATTCTCTTCTTCTCTCATAATAGCCTCGCTCTCGTTCTGCGCCCAATTACAGAAACCTGCTCTTTATTTTCACTAAGCCTCTGCACCAATTAAAGCGGCCTGTGATGTCGGACTCGGCCATATTCTCCCAGCTTCTTTCACATTATTAACAGGGAGGGAGAGACACGTTGGAGCTGTGTGCATTTATCCAACATGTTTACTTAATTTCTGCTTTCAAAAAAGGATGCAAAGGAATGTACCTGAAGCCTCGGAGCAGGGCCGGGCGATAGAGGGATGCACACTGATACCGATGATATTGAACATTAAGTACAGGCTGGATGCAGAACATCTCCCAACATCAGAGTGTTGTTTAAGCTGCAGAAAGGTGATGAACGAGCGGCTGGAGGCCAAGTGGTTAGCTTGGCGCCAAATGTACAGAAGCTGTTTTCCGTCAAAGCTGGCGACCCAAGTTGTTAGCAGAAGCTCCTCCTGACGCCCTGCGTTTGTTTAACTGTCGCAAATCACTTTGGGCAGGTTGTAAAACAACGTCAGATTGTCAGTGTGAGTAAAAAGTGGAGCTCAGATTGTTGGACGGGCTGTTAGTAAAATAAAGCTCACAGGGAGACAGATTATTAGTCTGATATTTACCAAGAAGAAATCTACCAAAAGGCTCTAACAGCACAAACGCGGCCCAGAGGTTAAAGGTCAATGACGGAATTAGCTGATCAGCTCCCACCTGACACTCAAAGAGGCCACACCCCTAATTCTACATCACTTTAAGCCTTCATATAACGTAAGCAGGTGAGTTGTACAGTTGTCATGAAGAGAGAAATGAACTCTAGAGACCCAAACTGATTTTGTACCAGGCTGTAAACATGTTTATTTCATTTTTAACATGGGGCTCTATGGGGATTGATTCACTGCAGGAGACAGCCTCTAGTGGACAGTCAGGGAACTGCAGTTATTTGGTTTCTTCAGGTCTCTGCTGGTTCTAAACTTTAATAAATAAACCCCACTGGATGCTTTTGGTCTTTTATCTTTCTTGGGATACGGCTCAAAGTTAAATCAATATGTTCTTATGTTTACTGATTATAATAAATATTGAGAAATGATCCTGATCATGCGCAGCCCTTTTCTCCCTAAATATGTACATAAGAGCATGCATGAAACAGATCCCTGTGCATATATCCTCCTAAACCATTACAACCCCTTTAAATGGAGTTCCTCTTCATTTCCTTGAAAGTTTCCTTCCTCTCTCTCTCTCTCTCTCCCTCTCTCTCTCCTGCACAGAGCCGTATGGTTTCGGTGTGCGAGCTCTCGCCCGCTCAGCGATAACAGAATTAACCGATAAAGGAATTAGTTCTGGGAGAGAGGAGAGATGGAGATACAGAGCATGCTGGGAGGAAGACGACGGCTTTGAAGCAGGATGGAGGTAGCAGCAAGTGTGAAATCTTAATCTCATCTCCACCCCTTCATATATATAGTTCTGCACCCACCCACCCCTCCCACCCCCACCCCCACATGCACACTGTCTCCCCCATCCTTCCCCTTTCGCTCTCCCCTCCCCCTCAGCTAACAAGCTTTCTCATATCAGAGCCGATTATATAAAAAAAAAACACCGCAGGACTCTCTTCCTCTCTCTCTCTCTCTCTCTCTCTCTCTCTCTCTCTCTCTTTCTGACACTCCCCTCCTCATCCTCACACCACAGGTACCATCTCTCTCTCTCTCTCTCTCCGCCTGAGGTGTGCAGGTGTGAGCTGAGGTGTTTGTGTGTGTGTGTGTGTGTGGGATTGTTTCCACGTGTGCAGACTTACAATTCAAACACCATGTAGAGCATCCCATCTGAGCTGTAGGTCTCCAGCAGCTCCACGATGTGCGGGTGCTTCAGCATGTGGCAGATACTGGCCTCCCTCTTCAGGTCTGAAAACAGAGAGAGAGAGAGAGAGAGAGAGAGAGAGAGAGAGAGAGAGAGAGAGAGAGAAGGAAAGCGGGCATCGAGGTTAATATTAGACATACAGGATGTATGCTTACCTGTAAGGACACAGGTGATCTCTTCTGCATTGTAAGTCATGATATAATCCATGCATCATTAATGAAGGGGAGGTATTTATTCTGCAAACATCATCTCTTTTTTTTTTTTTTTCTTTTTCAAATGAACAGCTAAGCTAACTGTTTGCAAGGAAAGGGGGAAAAGGCTGCACACAGTCGTATTGGGCGATGATGAGCCCTGAATTAGATTAATTGGTCAGTTATTACCTTAATCAACAAGCAAGAGCAAAGTTACTTGTAGAGAACATTTCATCAAAAGGGCAGCTCGATGTGATTTAACACTGAAGTTAAAAACACAGAAATACAACCACAAAGAGTATCAGACACAGAAATCAAATCAATCACATCATACACACCATAAAGCAAACATCAATAAACACACCCGTGATCACACACACACATCCCCTCTTAGTATGTCTGGGAGAATAGAGCTTTAGAGGAACCACAGTAGCTGAAGACCCCCTCTCCAGACTTTGATCTGATCCTAGGTAAAGCTAAAAGACCTCCACCTGATGACCTGAGGGTTCCGGGTCAGGTCGTAGTCTGTGGGCAGGTCAGAAATGTCCTCAGGGAGCTGAACCATAGAGAGCTTTATGGACTCATAAAAGGATTTTTAAAAGTGGTTATGTTTTGTACTTGATGGTTAGAGCTTTCACACTTGCAGAAAACTCCTGAAAACTCCTGATATTTCCAGGAGTAGCTGTATGTGTGACACACAGAGACAGGGATAGTCTCCCTCTGTGAGGAGCATGTGAACAGCCAGGTCAGTAGAATATCCTGAGCAGTCCTACTGAAATGATCTAGATATTTTCAGGAGTGTAGATGTGAAAACGGCTTCAGTTAAAAAGCTGCACTAACACTGAACATAAGCCAGCCCCTGTATGATTTCAGGCTCATTTAGACCCATGTGACCTTTTCTTATGAAGGGCACTTTAAAATCCCTCAGTGTTTAACTTGTTATTTATTTATTAAGCGACCTTGCCTTACCTCTACTTCATTATTCATGAGGTCTAAGATTTGTCTCAGGTTGACGAACCCCGTCAGACTTTTTTTTAATTAAGCTGACAAACACAAACGCCGACTCTGCAGGAGTCACAGAGACTCAGCCGAGAGAGTGCTGCACGTTTAACGCCACGCCTTTGACTCACTTCCTCCAGGTTTATAAACCCTGAAGTCTACCAGTCTCCACCTGTCCTCCTCCTCCTCCTCCATCTCCTCCTTCAGGTGTTTCTTCAGCTCCTCTCTGACTCTCACAGATTAAGATGCTGAAATGCAGAGCGCAGCAAACGGCTCGCTCTCCTGGAAAAAAAAGTGTGAAGATGACTCATCTGACTGTCTCGTATGCAAATTTAAAAACACCGTCTGTGCTCTCTTTGGTTCAAGTGCTGTTTGTTTGCGTAGCTCCCATTACATTATTTTCCTCTCACAGCTGCCTGGAAAGCAGTATCCCGCTCTTTAATTGGTTCCTGGAGAAGATGAGGGTTAATGGGGGAGGTTAGTGAAGCTGAAAGGAACAATGCAGGCTGGTTTGTTTGAAGGATACGCCGGGGAGCGCTGACAGACAGCGAGCTAAAACGCGCCCTCTCATGAGACACACAGCCGCAAGAAACTTTACATGGAGTTTGATTTGAGAGGATGAAAACAGACGAGATGAGGAGAGTAACAGGACCCATGTGCACAGACAGAAACCTTTACTCTGTCACTGTTCCTCTGATGGAAATAAAAAAAACAAACTGTCATAACGAGGGTTTAATGGATCAATTCCCGAGTTATAAAACCTTTAAATCTACCTTTTTGCAATATCTTTAACGAAGTCCAACAGCTTGTTCTCTCACTGGACCGTCTGGGAGCACCTGTTTTCTGTGTGCTGCATCCTGTGCTGGTATGCTATTGTCAGCTTTTTAAGTTTATTTTTTTGTGCCTTTATTGGATAGAATCAGAAATCAAGGAGAGAGAGAGAGAGAGGGGAATGACGCAGGAAAGGAGCTACAGGTTGGATTCAAACACGGGCCGCACGCCTCCATACACGGGGCATGCGCACTAACCACTAGGCCACCAGCGCCCAATATTTTCACATTTCAATAAAAAAAAACCTAATCGGACCCGTTTAATTGGCAAATAAACGTTCATATTTAAGTTCAGATTTCATAAACCAGGATGAAAACCTAAACATCCATCGGTCTCTCATCCCTCCATTCAGTGTCTCCATCCTTTGATCCGTTCATTCGTCACTCTTCAAAGAGCCCTGCTGCTTTCTGAGACCTTCATCCAGAGTATAATCAGAAACATCAGAAACACACAGCTGAAAACGCCTCACCGAGCTCACTCAACTGCATTAGCGTTAAATATCTCTCTCTCACTCTTCTGAGCCAACGTAGACATGCTCGATATTCAGAAGATGAATATTCCAGATTGATTAAAAAAAAGAAGCTGCAGCTGCTGGAGCTGTATGAGAGTGTATGCATGATTTTCCGCACAGATGTGAGAGTGTTAGCATGCAATCTCACACACATTCACTAAAAGTTGGTGCATTGTTCCTTTATGGATGCACTGACATTTAATTAAGCTCCACAGCTGAAGCCCCCCTGTTCTGCTGCGAGCTCTGCGCTAACATTAAGCTAATCCTCTGAGGAGAGGCACAAGGCGAGGGGCTAGCGCTAACATGATGCTAATGCTGCTAAAGCCGGATAAGTGGCCACCTTCGGGGGGGGGGGGGGGGGTTTAATGTCATGTGGCAAGTTTACTTCTCGATGAGTCTGTCACCATTAACGGCTGCAGGATAATGAGAGGACGCTTCAGAAAGTGAACTCAAAAAATGAGCAGAGAAGGTTTCATTCAGTTTCTAGAAACAGCTGCAGAGGAGGCTGCTTATAAGTGCTTTCAGGTTAGCTTACAGTGGAGTGTGTGTGTGTGTGATCCTGCAGTCAGTGTGTAAGCAGCAGAGAATTAATCACACAAAAAAATGATGGGGGAAGAGAGAAGAGATAACACTGCAGGACGAGCTGCAACACTTTCAATCTCTGCACACGCACTTCTTTAAAAAGTACAAAACCATAGAAGTGTTACTGTGTGATAAAAAGTCTAATTTCATCTCTCGCATATTTTTAGGTAAACGTGCATTTTGCAGATAAGACTTATGTCGGCTGATTCAGGAGTTTGGGATGAGGTTGGGATGTCATTGGGCGAGAGGCCCCTGGACTGGTTACCAGCCAATCACAGGGATGACATATAGAGACAAACGCACATTCACAATGTAGAGTCAGCAGTTAACCTAACGAGCATGTCTTTGGACTGTGGGAGGAAGCCGGAGTACCCGGAGAGAACCCACACATGCACGGGGAGAACATGCAAACTCCACACAGAGAGGCTCCTGTCAGACGGGGATTCAAACCAGGAACCTTCTCGCTTGTAGGGTGACAGTAACACATTACTCAACTCTGCTCACAACTTTCTGAACGGAGAAACAGCCTGTATTTAAATCCATCCAGCTCTGCTCTTCCATTTATCCTGACAGAAGACAATATAAGCTAATAAATGCAGAGTGGGAAATGACAGCTTCTCCCCGAGGTGCGGACCTGGACATATCCATTTAATTTAACAACTACAGCCATTACAATAACGCACGCTCCGACATGCTCTCTCTATTACATTAACTTCAAGTACAGAGACTATCAGTGAGGGAAAATATGAAATATGATCGAGCCTGTCAGGAGTGTTTTGAGTATCTCGTCTCTGCTTCTTAATCTGACGTCTTGTTTCCAAACTCTGAATCAACTTGAAGTTAAAGTGATTGATGTGAAATGAGGGGAGATTAACGGGGAGAATAATGTGACTCAGTGACATGATGCTGTATCAGCAGATCATTCTCAGATGAAGACATCCTGATGATATGACAGGCTGAAGTGAGAGAACGGGTTTGGAGTTTGATCTTCATCGTCTGATCCTTTGAAAATGTTTTCACTCATACCCTGATACAGATATTTAAGAGTCAGCTCAGAGCACCTTTCTGAGTCAGTAGCTTTTTTGTAATCCTCGCTTCTGGTGTGGTGAGTGTGTCTGCAGAGACTCCGTCCTCTGACTGGATTTTACTGTTCTGGTTTGTTGTTGTTGACTCGGGATGTTTCTGGGCGGGGGAGCTGGTGTGTTTCCTCCAGCCAATGACAGCGCTCAGGTGAGTTTAGGAGTAAATACAATTCAGAGACAATTCAAACCCTCACTGGAAACGGACGTAGCAGCAAAGAAGAGAAAATAAAATCACACTGAGCAGATAAAGCTAACGCCTCATACCGGTCCAGACCGCAGCAGCTCGGCCTCTCGCTGGTTTTAACAGACGACCTCACATCCCTCCTGTCCTCGATTCCCTCCTCTGGCTCGCTGTCCTTTTTAGACTAGATTTTAAGATGTTACTGATCACTTTTAAAGCTTGTCTTCTTGTCCTAAATTACATTTCTGAAATGCTGACCCCTGGATATTTTCGATCATAAAACAATGTGGCATCATTTTAAAAATGAATCTGCAATTGAAATTGCAGAAGAAGGAGGAACCAAGAGGAAGAAAATCAGAGACAAACTAGTGCAGAAAAAGTAAAATGCCAAAGGAAGACATAAAGGAAGAAAACAGAGAGAGAGGAGCAAAGAGGAGATAAACAGATGTGATCTCCACAGTGTTTTATTTTTCTCCTGCTGGGAGTCGAGGCCTGCAGAGGAGGGAGGTTGTGCTATGACAGCTACTCCACACAGAGCTGCAGGTGTGTGTCTCCGTGTGAGTGTGTCTGAGAGCGATTTCACACACAGCCGGGGCAAAATGTCACAACAATCTAACAGGAACCGCTGACTGTTTGTAAGAAGAGGACGGAGGCTCTGCTTTTAAAACTTTAGCGCCTTAAACATGCATTATTTTTTGTTGTCCAGCAGGGGGCGAACAAGAAGTCTGATTGAATAGATGCTGTGATAAGATGGGCTTACTTCACAGAGGATTTATTCACTCAGTAAACATTTTTCTAACAAGTTTACGGCCTGAATCATGTCCTCAAGCATGATGTCCAATTATTCCCATTTAGAGTCAAACAGACCAGAAAGCAGGGAAGGAGTTAGAGCGGGTTACCTGGGACTGAAAAGGTCAGGTAGAGGAAAGAGACTTCACAATTCATATCAACTATTTTGTCAAAACATTGTCATTTATAGCTTCAAAAAACAAGATGGCAACAACTAAAAACACCAACAAAAAAAAAAAAACGAAGTGATGAAAAAGGAAAGGAAACAAGGAAGTGAAGGAGGCAGAGGAGGCAACAGCACAAGATGAATTCTGCTCGTTTCACTGGCGAGCTTTTCTCTCTCCTCCCCTCAGAGGGCTGACCTATTCGTCAGATGGACCTCCGGACATGCTGCAGAGGAACAGGCTGGTGTGTGTGTGTGTGTGTGTGTGTGTGTGTGTGTGTGTGTGTGTGTGTGTGTGTGTGTGTGTGTGTGTGTGTGTGTGAGAGAGAGAGGTCCCGACTGGCCAATCCACTGCCAAGACACGAACCATTTGACCCACTTCCTTTGGTCTGAGCGCCTTCTTTGTGTGTGTGTGTGTGTGTGTGTGTGTGTGTGTGTGTGTGTGTGTGTGTGTTTGATTACTGTGCTGCCCAGTCAAGTGAAACTGCTCTGCTTTCTACCGGCGACATGAAGGAGGGGAAAATAAAAACAAATCAACAGCGAGAACAGCCGGTTGCCCTCTGTGGGGTGGGGGTGATGGATTTCTGCAGAGGAGGGGTGTGATTGGAATGACAGGGGGGAGGGGCTGACCACATAACAACAGTACAAATGAGGATGTGAATGCAGGTGATGAAGACAAAAAGGTACCTGAGCTACAATGAAAAACTTTGATTTGAGAGTCTGCTGTGATCCGTCAAACAGTGTTCGGTCTCTGAGAAGGGGGGGGGGCGGACTAACACCGCTTTAAAGACACAGAGGTTTCAATCAGGAGTCACTGCACAACGTGTCTGTATAGTGCAGAGAGGAAATCAAGATGGTGAACACCGGACTGATTTAACCTGACTGTTCACATACGCTCCTCACAGCGGGAGGCTATCCCTGTCAGACGGGAGGTTGGGTGTGGGTGTGTGTGTGTGTGTGTGTGTGTGTGTGTGTGTGTGTGTGTGTGTGTGTGTGTGTGTGTGTGGGGGTTATCTCATCAGCCCACTCGGACTTGCTGCAGAAAAAAACCCTCGGGGTCTGGCGGGAGAAACTCCGGGTGAAGTCCGAGTGAAAAATTCCGCTGTTTGCGTTCACACACGCAGCTCCTTTAATTTCAGGAGTTTTCTCTGAATGGTGGTGATGCTTTAAGAGAAGAGCTGGTCGATGTGGTGTGTTTAGCCTAGCTGAGCATTAAAACTAAAGATTTAAAGGAGCAATATGTAACTCTGACACCTAGCGTAGCCTAGAGTACTGCAGCCTAAATTCAAATCACTGAAAAGAGCTCCCTCCTCCCCAGAGTCGATGCGTATGTGGAAACCTTGAAACCTTTCTGTGTTCTGACCTCTCTCCATTCATTAACGGCTGCACACTGCTCCTGTTCTGTTTTATATATTTTTATGTCCCTCCACACAGCAGCCTCTGTGCTTTGAGCGTATTTATTGGTTGTTTGGATGCACAGCAGCTGGATGTATGGACTGTAATAAACCTCACAGCAGACTGACCTCGTTCTCTTTTCTCATCAGTTCTCCTCCTCCTCCCCCCCCTCTGTTATCATCCAAATATCTTTCTTTCAATCTCTCCTCCTCTCTTGTTCTCTCCATCCCTCCCTCCTCTCCTCCTTCAGACAGACAGAGATTAACGATAAGATCTACGATAGGATCGACTCCGCACACTTCGTCTGAATAAATAACACTCCAGCAGCTGTGTCATTAAAGTCTGTATCGTAACTCAAAAGGCAAAGAAGTTCAGGAGTGGATTTCTCATGACTTCCTGTTTGTTTTTTTTCCCAGCTCTTCTTAAACGTCCTGAACTGTCTATAAAGGTTTCAGTAATAACTTCATTCATAATTAAAGCTCAGGAGAGCGGCGGTGCACCATCTGCTTCTTAACGACCACAAAGAAAAAGTATGAACAACTTCTTAAATATTAGAAATCAATTCACACACAAAGGTTCAGAGAATATAAAGTGAGAGAGGACCGTCAGCGTTTGTGTCAGAAGACCAAAATGGAATAGAAACTAAATGCTGAAACACACAAAAGTAGTGCAAAGAGACACAAAACTACAAATAAATGACAGATAATTATTCCAAAAAAAAACTAAAATAGACACACAGTGAGTGACTCATGAAAAGGCAGCAAAAGTAACTAAACGACATCAAAGAGACAAAATCACATCACAAAAAAGACAATTGTTAAGACAACACCATCCCTGATAGGTTGCATTGCAGGGCTGTAAGGCTACTGTAGCGAGGGGGCGGGCCTTCCTGCCTGGTCGTACGGCCAATGGCTGGGGAGGCACCGTCTTGATAGGCTGAGGCGGGCAGGTGTGCGAGGAGGGAAAATGTTTGAAATGTGAGCTACACTTGGTGAGACAGTTTTTGACCGACTTTTCCGTCCCCGTTTTCTTTGTCACTAAATTTCTGTTGATTTATTGTCCCGTGTTTATGTAATAAAAATGAGCTGTCATCCAACACAGAGGAGAACACGTTGGAGTCGAGCATCGTACATTCAAATCGTTTTTTTTTTTTTAAGAACGGATCCTAAAGTCTTTGAGCAGTGAGCGGATAGTGTTCTTCCTCCCTCAGTAATTCCTCTGAAGGTTCCCTGTGTGTGATTAAACAGGTGAGCTCTCAGGTGTGATAGTCTCAGGTGTGATAGTCTCAGGTGTGATAGTCTCTACCCGTCTCGCTACGTCTTCCAGACTATGTTGAGTGTTTTAAAAAACAATTAAACTTAAATGTTTAGACAGGCCTATGGGTAACCAGGTCCACCCAGTGTACCTACTCATCTATGTTTTATTGCGCCAATCATTGGTCCTGGTTATAGCAGGATTTTATAATGTCGTCCATGACATACTCATCTTTTCTTTTTAATTATTTTATTGTATGTATGCTGTTGTTGTTTTTTGCTGATGTAAAGCACTTTGTGACCTTTGTCTGCGAAAAGCGCTACATGAATAAACTTTATTATAGTGACAGACCGACAGAAAGAGAAGAAGTCCGATGTTGACATTCACACAAAAAGAAGAACGAGTGTGTGACCTCTGCAACGCTTCAACATATTAAAGTGTTCAACAGAGTGAGAAAAGCAATTATATTCAGTTCAATTATACACAGCAGTAAAACACACACACACACACACACACACACCGGAGTGAGCGTAGTCTTACCCTCTGTGCTGAGTCCTGGACTGGACGTGAACTGAGCCACGTCCACGATCTTGACAGCAAACTGCTGCCCCGTCTCTCTGTTGATGCATCTCCTGACCACGCTGAACGGACCCCTGCACGACAAAACAACACAGTGTTAACAAGAAAATAACCATAGAGTGTAAAAAAAAAAAAAATGAAAAAAACAAAAAACATGGACGTAGGCTTTTAGTGATGTCACCCATTGGCTTCTGAAACGCAGAGAAGGCGCTCAATATATTGACTCCAACTAAGTTTCGGTCAACCGGGAAGAAAGAAAAAGAGGCGGCGCTGAGCCTCCTTCAACACGCCCACCTGTCAGTTAGATAAGCCACGCCCCTTATTATGAATAACCCTAACTCTGTAGAGACTTCAGGTACAAAGATGAAATATTGTATACTGTAATTTCCACACCATGATATAACTGCAGAAATGTACAAGCCAAGAACAACCCTCGCCCACTCCTCCTCTCACTAATGAATACAGCAGAGTGAAAATGCAAAGACCAGAACCGAGCACACACAGTCAGGGTGTGTGTGAGTCTCGTCTCCTGTCTGCAGCAGTGTTCAGTCTCCTACAGAGAGGCCTTCCTGCACTCAGCGTCTCATAGTTGAGGTCTGTAGAGTTCACAAATTAAGTCCCCGTCCCCCCCCCCCCCCGAGCCAGTGTATCGTCTCGTTGGGTTAACGGGATAAATGGGAGGTCTGCACTCTTGAGGGTTTGAGTTAACGAGCGAGCGGGGTCAGAGCTGCAGAGACACAGCCGGAGGATGATTCCACCTTAAACACGAATCACTCTCTGCAGGGTAACAGGCTTTCCCTGAACCTGTACACACACCTGTGGAGGGGAGAGGCTGAGTGTGTGATGTAGGAGGGAGGAGGGAGGAGGGAGGAGGGAGGGCAGCTGCAGCAGGAAAATAAAGCAGTGCATCTTCAGGATGAATTAGAGGTGTGGGAAAAATCTATACAGAATAATATAGTGAGATTTTGCATGGTGTATTTAGACACAGACGCTCACTGATCTGTTCTTATCTACGTTTCTGTTGTAGTGAAAAATTGAACTTTTTGGGACTTGAAAACTAGAATCGATTGCTTTTCAGTTCCTGTTTTAACCTTTCGTCGACATGTGCAGAGAGCTGCATCATTACACATTTTTCAGGACAACAAAGAAACACTGTAACCCGGGTAAACACCATGATGTCATCATACCGTTTGTCACCAACACAGCAGCTCCAAAGCTCTGCAGCAGAGAGGGTCACATTTTCTGATGATGCACAGACACCCAGAGCGAGAGGGGGGGAGGAGGGAGGATTCATAAATTACTGTAACAGCACATGAAACCTCAGAGGACTGACGACTTATGTCTCGTTTTCTCCAGACAGGAGCAGTGCCTGGACGTCACACATCGCCTGCATGCAGCACCAGCAGCAAAATGCAGCATAAGATTGAGAAAATATGACTAAAGATTGCTGGTTGCATTGGAATTGTTTCATATCTGGAAGTTGCCGTCCAATAAGAGCCATATACGTGAATACTTATCGTACAAATTTGAGTTAGCACAGCCGTCCAAAAGCCTTTGCATTCAGATACTTTGTTAACTGTTATACAAACAGTTCGGTGCAACAAGATTCATGCCAGTGTTGGTGGGTGTGTCTGCTTAATCCTGTTTGGATGTGTGATTGAAGGGGGATAAACCGACTACACTTGTTTGATTAAAAGAGGTGGAAAAGTTTTCTCTTAGGGACATGATTTGCAATAAAAAGCATGTAAAAAAAAATGCAAACATACCAACCAAAATAGTACCAAAAAATGTTTAAAATCCCAGTAATATATTCTTGAACTGCGTGCAGTCATGATTCTGTACTCTGAGGCCTCTGGTGATTCCCGGCCTGCAGTAAGGATAGACACACAAACACTGTGACAGCAGCAGAGGCACATAATCCCATCTATTTTCTCTACCTGCTTGTTCCAGGAACATATCCCAGCATGCACTGGGTTAAAGCAGGGAAACTCTGAGAACAGGTCAGCAGGCTCACACAGTGATGTGTGACAGAGAAATATGTGAGTGGAGCAGAGCTGGCAGGAAACTGGATTATTAAAACGTGAGATTATAGGAAGAATATGTGTGTTTGAAATCTTCAAAACAAAGCCATTTTCTTCCAATTATGAGAAGTGTTGAGCCATAGAAAGAAGCTCTTTGGTTTAATTTCACAGCAGGAAGGAGAGGAGGAAACTCAAACTCTACCAGGAGCCTCAAGCATGACAGAAATTATTTTAGAGGATGACAGAAAATAGATATCATGATTATTTCTGTTCAGACGTAGCATTGTTGTTAGACGCTAAGTGGGATAAGGTGCCGTGAATGAAAACGTTGTGCTTTCAAACTGCAGTTAGTGAAAGATGTATCCATGCTTTTATATTTACATGTTTCTTTTATTTTACAACAGGACGTAAAAAAAACAAAACATACAATATCACAAAACTTTCACACAGATCCTGGTTGTACGGTTCTGAAAACAGCTGGGCTTCTAATCTTTTCTACGCATTAATTAGAATATATTGTGAAGATGATGTTTAGGGGCGCCAGTGGCCAATT